AGCCTAGTTTTGTCTCATCCTTGATTTACCCAGTGTATAATATACCCGTTGTACTGGGTTAAATACCATGGGCTCATTCGCCACGATAACCTCGTTCCGGAAGTGACGTCAGGGTTCCAACTCCTTTGACTCAGCACAGAATTACGCTCGTGATTGCACGTCTATTTTTAGCGTCGAGCCATTTGATTCGGGCTCCGAAAGAAGTTACAGTGGCAAGAATCTAGGGTAGAATTGAGTTATGATACACTGGCTATTGGATATGATAATCGAGGATGGGTCTGTCTCGCCAAGTGGTTATAGCTATCCACACAATCCGATTTTGTTTGTTGTTGCTTAACGCCGCACTCAGCACTATTCCAGCTACACGACGGTGGTCATTTTCCCGAGGCAAGGGCGTTAACTGACTAGAAAAGTCCAGTTTCCATCCTTGCCGAACTTGGCTGGAATTTCTAGGCTCGATCGTCGTGCTACCTGTGGATATTACGAGTTATGTCCCTTCTATATCTCTCCTTTTGACCAATCAAGTTCCATCTCTTATATCACTTGCATTTGCTTCAAACAAAATGGCAGCGCCCAGCCAAGTCGAACTGATCAATAATCAAGATCTATATTGTAATAAAACTGGTCTTACCCCGCGAAGGGAAACAAACCACTTGAATACCTTGATTGAAAACATGAAAAAAAATCAAAATATCTGTCGACGCCCAGTTGGCGGTACACATGCTTTTCAAATCCTGAAGTCGATTGAAATCTGCACGTTGAAATCCATGTCGTTAGTTACGCGATTTTGATTGGACAATGCATAGACGAGCCAAAATGTAACTTCAGAATTCCAGCCTAGTTCGACAAGTGTGGAAACTAAATTTTTATATAGTCAGTTACCCCCCTTGTCACAGGAAGATGGATGATACTCGAGTCTGGACCGGACAATCTAGTGATAGATATTGTGAGCAACGATCTGAAGAAATGTATACCAATTGAGAGTATGTTATTCTACAGCGCAGGTCTGTAAATACTCTTGGTCAGAAAAACCATGATCAACGCCCCATGCCCTCAGACCATGATGGTATACAATCAAGGAAGCCATCAAGTCTGAAAACCATTGATCTGATTTAGTCACCTCTTGGGGACCTAAAATAACCTGGGTCCCACGGTACATATAAAGGACATGCCATTTAATATGCCTGGGGTATAGGGCCTGAATTTTTTCATTCAGTCACTGATCTAAGACACACAGTTTTTCTCCGAAAAGAGGAGCTTAACATTTTTAGAACTCATTTTTCACATGTTTCAAGACATCCAGAATGAACAGTGACTTTTTTATTTTGTTTTAAAAAAATTGAAGCAAAAGTATTTTTTCGTGAATTTCAAACAGTCTGTCAAGAACTAACGAATGAGTGATATTGGAGATCACTCTGTTCATTCACAAAGCATCACAGGTGTGATAAAACTAGCTGCATCACAGGTGTGATAAAACTAGCTGCATCGCAGTAACGGTTCCTTTAAGAATAATCAAAGAAGCAAAGTTCAAATCTAGGATGAATTGGTTTAATAGATGATTTCAACACATGTAACATATCAACTACATGGCAGATTAAAGAAGTAGAGTATACCAAGAAAGGTGAGAGTGAGTTTGGTTTTACGCCGCTTTTAGCAATATTCAAGCAAAATCACGGCGGGGGACACCAGAAATGGGCTTCACACATTGTACCCATGTCGGGAATCGAACCCAGGTCTTCGCGTGACGAGCGAACGCTTCAACCACTAGGCTACACGACCGCCCTTATACCCATAACAAGTGTTTCATTTCAAATCCTGATACAGACAGTGTATTCGGTTATTTAGGCATAAAGGCCCAAAGTATAATGCAGATTGGATATTAGCATTTGTCACATGATGTACATGATTAGATATTAAATCATACATTCCTCATTAGAAAGACATGTTTTAAAAATACAGAAACAGCATGGATCATATCAGAATTTTCAGAGTTTAGCACACAATTATTCGACAACAGCTTCTTTAATACACTATTTTAGGGACAAACATTCAGTGGTTAGATAAAATATATGCGGGTTAGGCTCACTCAGTCTGTTTTGAGGGAGAAAACTTTAAAAAGCATAGAGTGGTAAAATAAAAACAAACGTACAATGGTAAAACAGAAACAACATACAGCGGTAACATAAAAACAACATACTGTACATTGGTAAATACAAACAAACAACCAGTGGTAACACGAAAACATACCGTGGTAAAATAAACAACAAATATCCAATGGTAATATAACACAATACCATGGTAACTTAAAAGGAACATACAGTGGTAAAATATAAACAAACATAAACTTGTAAAAAAAAAACATACCGTGGTGAAACAACAACATACCGTGGTAACATAAAAACAACATACAGTTGCAAAACAACAACATATCGTGGTAAAACAACAACATACCGTCACGGTGGTAAAACAACAACATACCGTCACGGTGGTAAAACAACAACATACCGTGGTAACATGTGCATAAAACAACATACAGTTGTAAAACAACAACATATCGTGGTAAAACAACAACATATCGTGGTAAAACAACAACATACCGTGGTGAAACAACAACATACCGTGGTAACATAAAAACAACATACAGTTGTAAAACAACAACATATCGTGGTAAAACAACAACATACCGTCACGGTGGTAAAACAACAACATACCGTGGTAACATGTGCATAAAACAACATACAGTTGTAAAACAACAACATATCGTGGTAAAACAACAACATATCGTGGTAAAACAACAACATACCGTGGTAAAACAACAACATACCGTGGTAACATGTGCATAAAAACAACATACAATTGTAAAACAACAACATACCGTGGTTAAACAACAAACATCCGGTGATAAAACAACAACATACCGTGTGACATTAAAACAACATACAATTGTAAAACAACAACATATCGTGGTAAAACAACAACATACCGTGGTTTGTTTGTTTGTTGTTTTACGCCGCACTCAGCAATATTCCAGCTATAAGACGGCGGTCTGTAAATAATCGAGTCTGGACCAGACAATTCAGTGATTGATATCATGAGCATCGATCCACGCAATTGGGATACGATGACATGCATCAGCCTAGTCAGCGAAGCTGACCACCCGATCCCGTTAGTCGCCTTTTACAACAAGCATGGGTTGCTGAAGACCTATTCTACCCCGTATCTTCACGGGTCTCATGTAATGTAGCGCTTTGAGCTTGAGCATATAAATATGCACATTGTTATTATCATTATATTGAATAGGCTGCAATATTTACGCATATCGACAAGGAATAATGAAAGCCTTTGTGTCTCTCAAATATTAACATTAACATAGAAAATTGATGTGTTTTCAAAGATGTACATAGTGGAATTACGACAAAATTATATTCATGGTTTTGACTAATACGCATAAAGAGGACAGAAAAAATGCATTGAGTGAGTGAGTAAGTGAGTTGAGTTTAACGCCGCTTTTAACAGTTTTCCAGTTATATCAGGGCGTGTCAGCTTAATGTGGGAGGAAAGCCCGAAGTGATGCAGGTCTCAGACGTTTACCACTTCGGTGAAACCCACGAGCACGGGTATGATGCTGACAAACCTAGAAACACTATCGGGGCGAACCGGGATTCGAACCCACAATAATAGGTTTCTGGCGTGCCGAAGGGACGCAACTCTGCACAGCGAATCGCGTCGCCTTTGACGACTGGGCCACCCGTGCCCCCCAATAAATGCATTGATTTACGATGTCTAGCGCAATATTTAAAAATATACACATATTTTTTCTGTTAAGATATATTAATAAAAGCATTAAGAGCAACTTTTATATTCTACTAAATCAGAAAATTCAACATGGTAACTGAAAAGAGGAAAATCCACTGTATCTAGGATACATCTAGCAGCGAAATGTTACCTATATAATCACGACGAGTTAATTAGTATTGTAAGTGGAGTTGAAAATGGCTCGGATTTTGCAGCTGAACATAATTAATAAATGGATCCAATATTATAGGAAAATGCTCAAGGGTAAAGGACTTGTTCATGTTAAAATTGTTTAATGAATGCTTTCAAAACGTAAAAAGGCCATGTTTACATTTGTTCGTCAAGCGACTGAGCTTAGTGTTCTTTTAGGGACGGTCGGGTAGCCTAGTGGTTACAGCGTTCGCTCGTCACGCCGAAGACCCGGGTCCGAATCCCGACATGGGTACAATGTGTGAAGCCCATTTCTGGTGTCCCCCGCCGTGATATTGCTGGAATATTGCTAAAAGCGGCGTAAAACCAAACTCACTCACTAGTGTTGTTTTAGAAGTATAGCTTTATGATTAAGGAGATTTTCAATCACCGAGCCCCGTGACTCTGTTTCACAGACACTGGTAATTCCTCTAACCTAAATTACATCCCTTCTGTCACAATTCGGCATACCAAAACATTTGTGGTCTGAAGTTATAGTGGGTGAGTTGCCCTTGCCTGACGCACGTGGAATACGTTCTTTGCTTGTGATGCACGTGTACGTGCTGCTGATTCTCGTTCAAGAAATCCAGAACATTATTTTTTCCTTCACAAACACATTTGTGGCATTGAGTTTTCCCGGTGTGAAACACGAGAAAGTTGCAGGTGGTGCTCGCGTTTGACGCGCTCCGGGTTCTTTTGTAATTCTTTCGTGCCTTCCTTCTTTCGAATTCCTAAGCCAATAATAATAATAATAATAATAATATGATAATTATAATAAAAAATCATCCTTTCCCTCCCTTGACAAGATTGATGAAATCAATAACTATATTAATGGATATGTTGCCAGTCTGGTAAGATCCTGCAAGTCGGAGGAAATTTATCGGTTTTGAAAATGCGCCGATAATTTAACACAGCTCAAAGTCGAAAACAACACTATCAGCCTAGCTGAAGCATTCCACGTACATTTACAGCTGATAACCCCTTATTAAAGCTGCACGCAGCTTGACCTAAGATATGGTGCCTCTTGTGATCAGGAAATGTAGGCGAGTAGTCGTGCAATGTATATTTAGGCAGAGAAGTCATATGGTCACGACGTTTCCTTTGAACTCATCATGAGACACTGCCTTCCGCCGAAGGACATCATCCAATAACGCCCATGCAAGTCTATAATATTTGGCAAGTCTAGATTACTGCAGCAGCATCTAAAATGAAGAATGTCTCTGTGCTCCTTTTTCAAATATTTTATAAGTATAGTTTGTATAAACTGTTTTTTTCTGTAAAATATGTTCATTTCAGAGACTAGGTGTTAGTCTAGCGACGGACGTAAAACTACAAATTACTGTCAGCAATGGAGGGAGGCAAGTCAGCGTTCCCGGGGGAGGAAGGTCCGACTCCCACCCAGAAGATGCAGCTTACTGGGGACAGAGACCATAAAATAGATTTCATGGTCTCTGCTGGGGGCGATTTTGTAACCGACAACGTCCATGTGAGTTTGAGTCTGACGGTGGAAGGCATTTCGTGGAGGAACTTGGTGGATTCAAGAGAGGGTGGGTACTGCGGAAGAGATTGATTCTCGTGAGATAATATGGCTTCTTTGTTTGTGACTTCTTCACGAGAAAAATGGAGTAAATCAGAGTCGTTAAGCATTTAATAAAGGGTTCTTTTCGTCGATGAGACTTGTATGTCGTGGATACGACAAAAAATCACGACAAATCGGTGCGAATGTATTCTGTAAACGATCACTTCCGCATTAATGGTCATAGAGGAGTAGTCTCCCTTTGACCATGAAACCTTTTCCTGGGACCTTGTCCTGACACAATACAAGTATCAGCTAGTATATGGATGAGCGCACAGCTAACTGCGCGCACCAACTGTGAAACTAGTTATCTAGAGGTACCCAGATGGAATAATAAGAATATTTCTAACAGAATTGGATCACTAAAAGCGACATCAATTTTAAGTAATTGCAAACAGGTAGGTACAATGTGCAGCAGAATTTATTATATTTAACATTCTGACATATATTGCTGTGATAATTTACCAAAAGACATTGGACACATAAGTTGATGAAACACCCTAGCTCATATGTGTATATCAAACCAACAACATTCCCCCCCCCCATCTCTTGTAAACAACACCCCACACACTGTAATATAACTGGAAGACTGCAAGTTACATTTGTTATCAACCCAACACCAAGTTACATGTTCATATCAATCAATCAGCATATAGGTTAATTCATATTATTCAAACAGCACGGTATGTATATCATATGTATGTAACAGCATGATATATGTTAACTTATATCTTAAGAATGTAGCATATTTATATCAATCCAACAGTAACATACATGTCCATATCAATCCAACAATAAGATACATTTTTATACCACTCCAAACAGCACATAGCCTGTTCATATCAATCCAACAATAAGTTACATTTTTATACCACTCCAAACAGCACATAGCCTGTTCATATCAATCCAACAATAAGTTACATTTTTATACCACTCCAAACAGCACATAGCCTGTTCATAATAATTCAGCTGCGTGTTACAAGTGTATATTAAACCTGCAGCATGTTACATTTGTATGTCAATCCAACAACGTGTTACATTTGTATGTCAGACTAATAGCATGTTACATTTGTATATCAATCCTACTGCACATTACATGTTGAAATAATAGAGGTCTATGCACTGTTCATGTCAACATTACTGAGGTCAATGCACTTTTCGTGTCGACATTACAGAGGTCAATGCACTGTACATGTCAACATTACGGAGGTCAATGCACTGTTCATGTTGACATTACGGAGGTCTATGCACTGTTCATGTCAACATTACGGAGGTCAATGCACTTTTCGTGTCGACATTACAGAGGTCAATGCACTGTACATGTCAACATTACGGAGGTCAATGCACTGTTCATGTTGACATTACGGAGGTCAATGCACTGTTCGTGTCGACATTACAGAGGTCAATGCACTGTACATGTCAACATTACGGAGGTCAGCATGGTCAGTGCACTGTTCATGTTGACATTACGGAGGTCAATGCACTGTTCATGTTGACATTACGGAGGTCAATGCACTGTTCATGTCGACATTACGGAGGTCAATGCACTGTTCGTGTCGACATTACAGAGGTCAATGCACTGTACATGTCAACATTACGAAGGTCAATGCACTGCTCATGTTGACATTACGGAGGTCAATGCACTGTTCATGTCGACATTACGGAGGTCAATGCACTGTTCGTGTCTGCATTACAGAGGTCAATGCACTATTTGTCTCTTCTCACAGTTACCCTCTCCTGGCCTGACATCATCACCTGTCATCGAGGACGTGTGTCGTCATGGAGACCAACAGAGATAACCGGTGATGTTGACAATGACAAATGTTTCACCTTGCATTATATCGACAGACAAGAAACCCGTGTCTGGAGACACAAATACAGGACATTTGATAGCAGCGAGAGTAATTTCGAAGACATTTTAAGTGCTGTTCTTGAGAAATGCAAGAAAGGTAGGTGATACCTCACTCCAGTGTTGATGGCTGTTGGCTCTATTTTTTACTGTTACGAGGGGGTACAGATGGTCCAGTCATCGAAAGGCGCAGCGATTCGCTGTGCAGAGTTGCGGTCCTTGGGTACGTCAGAAACCTATGATTGTGGGTTCAAATCCTGGTTCGCCCCGATTGTGTTTCTAGGTTTGTCAGCACCATACCCGTGCTTAGGGGTTTCACCGAAGTGGTAAACGTCTGAGACCTGCATCACTTCAGGCTTTCCTCCCACATTAAGCTGACACGCTGTGATATAACTGAAATACTGTTGAAAGATTTATCTTCATTGTTGCTAGGGAATATCCCGATCACGCAGCACTCAACATATTCCAGCTATGTGACGGAAGCCTGAAAATATTCGAGACAAACCAGTGACTGATATTATGAGCAACATTTCATGCCGTGATATAACTGGAATACTGTTAAAAGCGGTGTTAAACCAAACTCACTCACTCACTGTTGTTATGGAAGGGATATCAGCCGATTCATCTTCTACTGTCCAGTTATTTCTAGTATCTTGTTAATATGAATGTTAAGGCACCAGTTATCTTACTTTGCTGTCCCTTTGGAGTGCCAGAAACCTGTGCTTGTGGGTTCCACCAAAAAGGTTAACGACTAAGACCAGCACCACTTTGGGTTTTTCTCCACATCAAATTGACATGCTGTGATATTACTGAAATACTATCCAAAGCGACGTTAAACCAATGTCTCCCTTGTTGCAGATCGTCCCTCCCGACTGTTGGTGTTCATTAATCCTGTCGGGGGAAGAGGGCAAGGGGAAGTCAAGTACAACAGAGTTGTGGCCCCTTTGTTCAAATTGGCCCAGATCAACACAGAAGTCATAGGTACACAATAGTGTATGTAGGTGTGTGTGTGTGAGAGAGAGAGAGAGAGAGAGAGAGAGAGAGTGGGGGGAAGTGAGAGAGAGAGAGGTGAGAGAGAGAGAGTGGGGGGGAGAGAGAGGTGAGTGAGATAGAAGGAGGGGTAAGTGAGAGAGAGAGAGTGGGGGGAAGTGAGAGAGAGAGTGTGTGGGGGAAGTGAGAGAGGTGAGAGAGAGAGAGTGGGGGGGAGAGAGAGGTGAGTGAGATAGAGGGAGGGGTAAGTGAGAGTGAGAGAGGTGAGAGAGAGAGAGTGGGGGGGAGAGAGAGGTGAGTGAGATAGAAGGAGGGGTAAGTGAGAGAGAGAGAGTGGGGGGAAGTGAGAGAGAGAGAGTGTGTGGGGGAAGTGAGAGAGAGAGAGGTGAGAGAGAGAGAGTGGGGGGGGGAAGTGAGAGAGAGAGTGTGTGGGGGAAGTGAGAGAGAGAGTGGGGGGGAGAGAGAGGTGAGTGAGATAGAGGGAGGGGTAAGTGAGAGAGAGAGAGGTGAGAGAGAGAGAGTGGGGGGGAGAGAGAGGTGAGTGAGATAGAAGGAGGGGTAAGTGAGAGACAGGTGAGTGAGAGGGAGGGAGGGGTTAGAGAGAGAGAGAGGGGAGAGAGAGTGAGACACACAGAGATTATGTAACAATGTATGGAGAATGGGACTGTGATATACTGTCTCCGAGCCGACCAGTCCTTGTTTTATTCCCTTGATGCTGAGCGCAGGGTACCAAGTACCATCTTTTCACATCTTTGGCTTAACACAAACAGAGATCGAACCATCAAACTTCTTCCCTCAGGCAGACACTGCATCTGACTGACCACAGAAGCGGGCCATGGTGGTAGTGGAAGTGAGTCGCCACATCACATTGAACCAATTGACATGAACCCAAAACTAGTAGTGTTATATTACCGAAATACAGACGAATGAGTTTTTCCGAGCCAGATTGGGTCGAATGTTGCCTTTCAACACCACCTGAGTGTACTCACTCAATATAGTTAATAGGAGTCTATGTGATAGGGAGGTCTCTGAACTGGATAGTATTGATTGGTGTTGCAAGTTGTATTGGATAATCCTACATGATATCACATGATAGTATATCAATGTCAATGTCAAGATAAATATTTTGAAATGAAGTTCTGAAATATGATTTTTTCTCATCAGTGTCTCAAAATGCATTACACCCAGAAGAAGTGGGGGACACATACGACTTCTCAAGGGTCTCCGGGTAAGTGGAGTTACAGATTAATGAGGTTCAACCCTAGGTGAAGCTCCCCCACCTGAATGATTTTTATGTGTACAGACCTGTCCGTCCTGATTAATAAGGTTCAACTTGTCCGTCCTGATTAGCAAGGTTCAACCTGTCCGTCCTGATTAGCAAGGTTCAACCTGTCCGTCCTGATTAGCAAGGTTCAACCTGTCCGTCCTGATTAACAAGGTTCAACTTGTCCGTCCTGATTAGCAAGGTTCAACCTGTCCATCCTGATTAACAAGGTTCAACCTGTCCGTCCTGATTAGCAAGGTTCAACCTGTCCGTCCTGATTAACAAGGTTCAACCTGTCTGTCCTGATTAGCAAGGTTCAACCTGTCCGTCCTGATTAACAAGGTTCACCCTGTCCACATTGATTAACAAGCTTCAACCTGTCTGTCCTGATTAACAAGGTTCAACTGTATTTCGCTTCTGTAAAAGGCAACTATGCTTGTCGTAAGAGGTGACTAAAAGGATCAGGTGGTCAGGCTAGCTGACTTGATGCATGTCATCGTATCCCAATTGTGTGGATCGATGCCCATGACATCAATCACTGGATTGTCTGGTCCAGGACTCTATTATTAACAGATTGCCGCCATATAGCCATGTTAAACAACAAACAAACAAACAACTGTGAACACACTATTTCATTTAGAAAGTGGTCAAATGTAACAAACGTACAGATTCTCATACTTTTTTGGGTTGATTCCCGTCCGGGATTCGAACCCACACTGCCAGAGTGAGGCAAATCGCTGACTTTGTGTGCCTTACTCCCGGACAGGAATCAATCCAAAAAAGTAATAGAACCTGTACTTTACTCAGAAAGTGTTATCCCAAACATAACATTTGTTAAACAAACAACTGTATCCACTTTGAATCATATAATTATTTCAACAGAGTGGTGGTCCTGGGAGGAGATGGCACGCTCCATAAACTCCTACACACTCTGTTGCCAAGGGTACAGAGAGACGCTGGGATACAAGGTGGCGCCTCTGATACGGACTGGACAGCCTTACCTTTTCCAATTGGAATAATTCCCACAGGTAACCTTCAGATGAAGTATTCTTTCTCGTACTGCTACAATCTGGCATGTTTACATGAAATCAACCAGATGTAACTACAGGACGCATTAATATAACCCTTTCATTAATCTGCGGGGCATGGGTGGCCCAGTCATCTTGGGCGCCTGAATTCGCTATGCAGAGTTGCATCCATTCGGCATGCCAGAAACCTATGAGTTCGAAACCCAGTTCGCCCTGATTATGTTTCACTTAAGTGGTAAACGTCAGAGACCTGCATCACTTCGGGCTTTCCTCCCACATGAAACTGACATGCCTTGATATAACTGAAATACTGTTAAATGCGGTGTTAAACCAAACTCACTCATATTTCTTGGCAGTTTCTACAATAAGATTTATCTTAATCGTTGCTAGGGAATATCCCGATCACGCAGCACTCAACATATTCCAGCTATGTGATGGAAGCCTTAAAAATAATTGAGACAAACCAGTGATTGATATTATGAGCAACGTCTCATGCCGTCGGCAACAATGGCAGGCAATAAGCCAAGTCATTGAGTCTGACCTTTCAGTGGCCTTGTACGACAGACAAACGTGTTGCTGGGCGCCTATTCTAACCCAGAATCCCTATGAGGACATTTGTAAGACTTAGATCCATATTAGGACTCATGCTGTTGAAAAGTCTTTATGGTTTACACATTTGGCGTGTCCACAAACGTAATGCATGAGACAAATGTCAGATATAGTGTAATCCCCTTCACAACCGTATGTAGTGTAACACATGCTCTTTACATGGTGGGGCGGTCGGGTGGCCTAGTGGTTAAAGTGTTCACTCGTCACGCCGAAGACCCGGGTTCGGTTCCCGACATGGGTACAATGTGTGAAGCCCATTTCTGGTGTCCCCCGCCGGGATATTGCTAGAATATTGATAAAAGCGGCGTAAAACCTCACTCACTCACTCACTCACTCACTCACTCACTCACTCACTCACTCACTCACTCACTCACTCACTCACTCACTCACTCCATGGCTTAGGTAATTAACCACAGCTTTGAGGGAGTCCTGACGGCTTCAAATGACCAATTAGTTGATAGAGCGTCTGCCCGGACAGCGGAATGTTGGTGGTCCGATCCCTGTCCCTGTCACACCATAAGACGCTAAAAGATGGTACTTGTTGTTACCCTGTTTGGCGCTCGGCATTAAGGGGCTAAAACAAGGACTGGTCCGCTTTGAGACAGTATACTGTGTGTGAGTGGTGTATGTATGTTACACTGTGGCATGTGGCAGTACGATGACAACCACATCATCCAGTCTGGCCATCTGATCCATTTAATGTCCTCTTATGACAAGCATAAGTTTCGTAGGATCTTTTATCATCCAAAACTGGCATCACTAATGGCTCTGCTACTGAAGCTGTTAGCAGTACTTTTTACACTGAAGACACTGCTAATTACTGTCTACAAATTGAAAAGTTGGAAGAATGATGTTGGATGATAAATAAAATCTCACCCTCGTGTCTTTTGATGTCAAATATATCAACACTCGTTGATAGAAGAGGCAAAAATCCTCGGCAAGCCTCGGAATTTTTCTACTTTTATCAACTCGTGTTGATATATTTGATATCAAAAGACATGAGGGAGAGATTCTCTATCTATTCTAACCCAGAATCAGTGAGTGAGTATTGGTATTATGCAGTTTTAGCAATATTTCAGCAATATCATGCAGGGGCCACAAGAAGTGGGCTTCAAACATTGTACCGATGTGGGGAATTGAACCCGGGTCTTCGGCGTGACGAATGAACACTTTAACCACAAGGCTACCTCACCGCCCCTTACCTAGAATCAACTCGATGGGCCAATTGGACAATTAATCCCCATGCCCTTACTCTTTTCATATAGTATTTCTTATCATATAGTATAGACATCGGTTACATATTCACCAATTAGTGAGTCATTTTGTTTCTTTTTCCCAGGTACAGGAAATGGTGTTGCGAAAAGTCTATATGGAAATGATGACATAGAAACTGCGGCCCTCAACATCATTTCGGGTATGTTGGTTCTTGATAACACAGGGTATTTTCTGTGAAAGCACAGCTTTGCTTGTCTTCTCCAATCATATGAAGAATCATTGAATATGTTTATTGATTGAATATTGATCATTGAGTTTTCATACATGTACATTTGAGGTTATTACATAGTAAAAAATGTAGTTTAAATGAGTTGTTTTAAAGCGCCATCCCCACTGGATAATAACTTTAGAAGAACCATCTACCAACACTCAAGGGCAAGGTGACATACACATCAAGTGACACGTAACATATATGTACGCCATAATGGAATTTCCATGCTGCAAATGACGCAACTGTGATACTTATAAGTTAAAACTTGTGTTCTGTTAGAACTTGCGACGCCAAAAAACAGGCACAATAATTTTAGCCTCGTTTTTGGATAAGCAGCAAACAGAATGGGTTCTTGATGACTACCTTTAACATAGGTTTGGCCTTTGACTTTGTCTCCAACACTCATGTATTGGTCTATTTTATGTTTAGTTTTACTTCAAGCAAGAATGAAACATTTTTTAAGTCTTCCGGAAACAAATCACCCGATTTCAGAAAAAGATAATGAAAACATTATTATTAGTTACATCCTGTAAACACATACGATAGATGTGAAGGTAAAACAGATTCATTGGGTGTAGTTGAAAATAATTCCAGTCACTCACAAATACTGTAGGGGGCACGGGTGGCCCAGTCGTCTAAAGCGCCGCGATTCGCTGTGCAGAGTTGCGTCCCTTGGCCACGCCAGAAACCTATGATTGTGGGTTCGAATCCCAGTTCGCCCAGATTATGTTTCTAGGTTTGTCAGCACCATACCCGTGCTTCTGGGTTTCACCGATGTGGTAAACATCTGAGACTTGCATCACTTCGGGCTTTCCTCCCACATTAAGCTGACACGCCGCGATATAACTGGAATACTGTGAACAGCGGCGTTAAACCCAACTCACTCACTCCCTGACTCACAAATGCTGTAAATCCTGCAATAAATGCGTCTCCAAATTAAAACGACAGCTGACCCCTAGCCAAAAATGTGAGTCAAAATCAATGCGACTCCCCCCACCCCATCCCCAGTGGTACATATGATACAAATCCTTACCTTAATCCAATCAAACAGCAAATAGCATCGCTTATTAGCACTGAGTAAAGCACTTCCTTACTAACAATAAACAGTGTTTTCCTAAAAACAACACACAGTATATATGTTTATTCTGTTGACTGGCGTTAAGGAAGTTCAAAGGCAATAAAATAATTGAACCAACAACAGTTGACTGATTGGAGTGGTCAATGATGCCTAGTTTGACCAAGTGGGTCGAACTCTTGACCCCAACTCACCTGATGCCTGTTGTGTAATTCCTATCTTTAAATGACATTGTTATATACTTGTTACAGCTGCTGCTCAATAAACTGTGTTTGTGTATAAATTCAAGTTTGTATTTCCGCTGTCCAAAGTGTGCAGATTGTTGATAGTTATTTTGGAGACATAAATGCGAAGTTTCATTAATGTGAACAAAGAGCACACTATGACTCATCGGTATAGATCCTTATACAATTTTTGCCAAGCAAGGATCTATACCGAATCGTCGCATCACAATAGAATAAAGATCTTGTCATCCATAACATATCTTGTCTTCATTATCAGTAATATCACTTACTTACTTTTAAAAATGCCAGTCAATCAGTTTCACTTTACTTTTTATTTCAGAACTTGTAGGCCACAGGCCTTTTTGTACAGATGAAATACAATTAAGGTGCAAACAGTATAAGATATTATACACATTTCTTTGCTTTTTAACATGTTTAACAAAAGCAGTTTTAACATAACTGCACATTATACATGTTGGAGTATTTGTTTTCTTACAGCATTGGCATAAAACAAGTACTTTGCTGTATTCATATTGATAATAGGGTCTTGCGATGACAGTAGTGTATTAAACTTCAGAATATTTGGAAAGATGGAAAATTTAGATTTTATGTAACTTTGCCTAAGAAGGCTATAAGCTGGACAAATTAACAAAAAGTGATATTCATTTTCGATATGGTTTAAGTTACAAACTTAACATTTTCTAAATTCACTAGGAATATTATAATGTCGTCCACGTTCCATTTCTAAATTGTGAGAACTAAGCCAAAAACGAGTCAATGTGGTTCTGAATTTATTTACAGTTATACTACTCAAATAGTTCTCACATAAAATGGATGTTTTAATCTGTGCATAATAAGCCATTTGGGGGCTTTCAGATAAGCCACTATGCCAAACCTGAAAAAAGTTGTCTTTTAACCGTTGACGTAACATAATTAAAAATACGGTCAATCAGTTTACACAAATATGTAGTTATTTTGAAGCTCAAGGAAATGTGACACTAAGCACTTTCGTCACTCCTCGATCCTCTATTCCTCCAGAGTCAGGTGCAAATCAGCTGACAAATGTGTTCTTGTTGGTGTCTCAGGGTGTAAGACCTTCAAGAACATTGCCAGCATCAGTCACTGTGGCAGTCATCTGAGTTTTTCGGGGGTGCTATTTGGCCACGGCTTCTGGTGTGACCTCTTCGACACTCTCTTGGAAGAGAGACAGTTGGGCCGGTTCCGGTTCTTCTGTAAGTAGTGACCAGTGGTATTTTTTTATAATAATAATAATAGAATTGTTTTGTGCACTTTTGCACCCATTTATTTATCAGATGATCCTCCTGTGAAGCATGTCAAGACTCATGATGAAAACAAGGCATTCCACAGTTTTGTTAAATGAGCAATTACGTGGGACATAATCTTAATGTCAATGTTGATTTTGTTGATGGTTCTGCACTGCTGGACGGTACAGGAATGAGTGTCAACCAAGTGAAGTGCCGTATCAATTCGGCACAGACTGAGTTTGTCAAGGAGAGGCTATCTGAACAACCTCTGCATCGAGTTTATGTGCAGTGTCTTGATCGAGAGAGTTCGCAACCCTGCCGAGTCCTTCGCTTGGATGAAGTCGGCTGGCTTGAAAAGTGAAACAGAAGGCTTTCTGTTTGCTGTCAGGACCAGTCACTTCCCACTCATAACCGTCAATGTGTGATTTTGCATATATATCAAAATGTAAATATGAAATGTAGAATATGCAACAATTAACACATTGTCAGTGGATGCCCAGCTTTGGCACAAACACAGTATCTTAAACCACATGATGGAGTGGCTCGATCCTTTTATTACGGCCTTCACCATGCTTGTGGTTTTGACACAGAGGTCTATCCATGGTACGACCCAGAATATGTAGAGGGCATCATGTAAAATGATAAATACAAAATTCTTTGGAATAGGCCCATTTACAGCCTCAGACGTATCCAGGCCAACAAACCTGATCTTGTCCTTTTTGATAAATCCAATGAAATCATTTATATCATTGAATTTTCTGTCCCTTTTGACACTAATGTGATTGACAAGATTGACGAAAAACATGGCGGACGTTGCTTTCAAAATGTCCCGCTTGCATCCCAAGTACCAAGTTGAGTTGGTACCTCCCAGTCTGTTAACTGACATTGGGAGAGTACCAGGGCTTTGTTGCCAGGAATACAGCCCTTCTGACAATAGATGTAATGCAGAAGGCTGCAGTGTTTTATGTGATATACCGTATTCGTCATAATAAGCGCCCAGGGCGCTCTCAAAATTAGAAATTGGGTGCTCTTATTAGAATATAATTTTGGTGAGAAAAAAACAGAGTTGAAATATTGTAAATTTTGGGGTTTATGCTGACAGCCTAAAAACCTGTGCATATGATACACGACATATATTTTCCAGAATTTAATTGCCCATAACTAAGGGTGCATATAACACACGAGTGTGTATTATACACAAATAAATAAGTCTTATGTACATTGATCAATCGGAAGGGGTGCTCATTGAGATTGTTCACTAGCCAATATATTAGCAAATATAGCCGTGGGCGCTTATTAGAGCAGGGCGCTTATTATGTTGAATACGGTAGGCATTTCCTGTTAAAAAGCTGTGATAAGTATGGCGCAATCCTCTATTATGTTTATTTGTGTATTTCCTGTTTTAGTTGGAATGCTGTCAGCATTTCTGAGGTCTCGGCGCGAGTTCGATGTTCAAATAGACTACTTGCCCTACGACACACCCACGTGAGTTATCATTACTGGACCATTATGTATTCTATTATATAGAAATACCATTATCTGTAACAAAATATGACTAACACCCCAAGCTTTTTGCTGGAATAAACTATTGCAGATTACCTATGGTAAATATCAACCACAGATCTGCAACAAATGGAACTTAAAGTTTTCTTCAGTCATACTCAACATTAGTTATTGTAATGATGATAATGTTGCAATTATTGAAAGCATTGGTCAGTACTGGTTTGATGTTCATATAAAAATATATAAAATCTTGAAAAATATTATCCAATCATAGCTTGTGACATTTTTACTGCATGCTCTATTTCCAAATCCGGGTGACTGCACGACTAGTTCTTAGACAGTGTAACAATAAAAATTCTCACAGGGATGAAAATAAACAGGAAGTGTTTATTGTTTTATTGAATGGTATCATGTCAAATTGATTTACCTCTTGCAGAGACGGAAGTGAAGTGGACAATAGCGACACAGAAACAAGTATGTCGCCATGTGCATATAATGTTATTTCTTTTCTTATGTTTTTAGTATATTTTTCAAAATATACTACTCAACTTTTTATATGGATAATTAGATATGATGAATTATTTTTATATATATACCATATTCGACGTAATAAGCGCCCAGGGCGCTCTTAAAATTAGAAATAGGGGGCTCTAACTAGAATTTTGGTGAAAAAAACCCAGAGTTGAAAGATTGTAAATTTCGTGGTTTATGCTGACAGCCTGAATGACACAAAAGAAAAGTCTGTGCGTATTATACACGATGAACATATTTTTCCAGAATTGAATTGCCCGTTATTATGGATGCATATAATACACGAGTGTGTATTATACACGATAAAATAAATCTTGTGTACATAGATCAATTGGAAGAGGTGCCAATTGGGATTGTTCACCAGCCAATATATTAGCAAATATCGCCGTGGGCGCTTATTAGAGCGGGGCGCTTATTACGTCGCATACGGTACTTGACATGAGAATCGTTTCTGTGTATCGTGGAAAGATAAAAGATATATCCCTACCTAAAGTGCAGTAGTATATGTTCATGTCTCACGCAGTCTCAACCTGTGAATTAGAATTAGAATAGATGTTCACTCACCAAGGCATGCTTCTCGTAAGAGGCGACTAACGGGATCGGGTGGTCAGGCTCACCGACTTGGTTGATGCATGTCATCATATTCCAATTCCGCAGATCGATGTCAATCACTGGATTGTCTGGTCAAGACTCAATTCTGTATAGACAGCTGTCATAAAGCTTGAGTATTGCTGAGTGCCGCATTAAACAACAAATGAACAAAAAAACATGCAGTCGCGATATATATAGACTGTTGAAAATATTTCATTGCGTAATAATTTAGACACTTAATGTACCTAATCAGGCAGGAGATTTCGTTTCATACCGGCTGTCCATCCATAAAGATACCACAGACGTATTTGGCTTATTTCACCGAGAAGAAGCCTGTCCATTATTCATGTCAGAAACTTATCATGAATACGAATCCTGGTTCGCCCTGATTTTCTTTTAAGGTTTGTCATCACCTTATCCGTGCTTGTGGATTTCACCAAAGTGATAAATGTCTGAGACTTGCATCACTTCATGCTTGCCTCTCATATCAACCTGACACGCATTGATATAACGTAAATATTATTCAAACGGCGTTAAACCTTGAAACTCGCTCGCTCGCTCACTCACTCACTCACTCACTCACTCACTCACTCACTCACTCACTCACTCACTCGTCCGCGAATACATGATCCGCGAATAAGGACACAATTTTGTTTCAAGTCTGAAAACCTAAGATTTAGGACATTATGGAATGTATCCACTTTATCACTTTGGGGTCTGAGCGATTATGCAGTCATCAGGCTGAAATGTCCGGAACTAGTGTAGAATTAACTGCTGGATGATACAACACCCGATATAAACCAGAAGTCCTGAACATTGAGATAAGTGTGTGTGTAAATAAATATGTGTTTGAGAAAATTTGAGTCTAGTTTGTGTTATATTTTTTCGTAGAACCAGTTTGGAAGACAATAGAGGGTCGTTATACCGGAGTATTATGTTGTCCTTCTGTACCGGTCCCTCAGGAGAATACGGACAAGTGCGTCTTTGACGTCAATGCGGAGGCAATGTCTTTGGTGATGGATAAGCAGTGTGGGAGGTGGACATTCTACTCCTGGCTTTACAAGATGACCCAGTTGCATAAAGACGCCGTGAGTAAATATTCCTATCAAAGATTAAGTACTTTAAAAAAGGGTTTGTGTGAAGATTATTATCCCCGCCCAACAAAGTTGGCGGGGGATATAGAAACGGGCTCCGTCCATCCGTACGTCCGTCCGTCACATTTCGTTTACGGAGCATAACTCAGAAACCGTTCAATATATTTTCATAAAACTTTGCAGGTCTGTCAAGTACATGCTGAACTGACTTTTAGAAATTTTTATTTTTTACGTTTCCATGGCAACAAGATGGACTTAGGTTCCAAACTCTTCTTTTTTTTACAATTTCCATGACAAGTTCCGCCTCGGTTAAAAAAGGTTAGGGTTTGTTTAGATTTAATTATGTCATAAATTCTGCAACAGGGGCAGGGGATATAGCCACGTTACTGGCAAACTCTTGTTATTACTGTTATTGTTGTTGTTACTACTACTACTACTACTATCAAAATAAACATGAGGCCCATAGGGCCTGTATCGCTCACCTGGATATATACGCAGTCATGACAAAATAATACTGCAAATATTTCGTAATTTTGACTCTGTCAGCATTTAAAAGGAGTGAATGGGAAATCTGACTACAAATATAGCGTTAAGATCTGAACCATTTCCATGTTATGATCCAGGATTTAAGCTTCCAGAGGCAAGGCTGGACCCCAGGGCGAATCCTATTGGCAAAATTGTTTTATTCTCTTCATAACAAACAAATGTATACAGTGTATCTGTTTATTATAGGGTGGGGATAATATCGGTTTGCATGTTATGGTTAAGGTTCTAACTCCTTTGGGAGTGCCGGACACATAAACAGAAGGGCAGTCCTGGTAGCATATGTGTATTTGTCTTGCTATACTAAGCAGTTACATATATACATGTGTTATATGTGGTAAGTTGCATGTAATGCATGGAGTTGGTATTGTGTGTAAGTAGTCACATGACCTAACATGGCAATGTCCATGGATTCGTCGCGAGCTATCATTCATTCTAGGGTAAGTATTCAAAACTTGGTAAGTTGATGACCCCTATTTCGCCCCGCCCCTCAGCCCCTTGGGGGGTCAGCCCCACCATTTGTACAATTGTGAATCCTCACCACCGGAGAATGCTTCCAACCAACTATGTTTGATATCTATCTCTTAGTTCCATAGTAGAAGTCGCTTAAAGCAACATCGCCAAATTACCCCATTAGGCCCCGCCTCTCAGTCCCCTGGGGGGGGGTCAGTGCTACCATTTGTACAATTTTTAATCCCCACCACGTAGGGATGCTTCCAGTCAAATTTCATTAATTTCAAATTAGTGGTTCAGAAGAAGAAGTTGTTTGAAAGAATTGTTGACATAAGGAAAACGGACGGACAGATGACAGACGCCACAGTATGGCATAAGCTCACCTTGGTCCTTCGGACCCGGTGAGCTAAAAATGCAGCAAAGAGGGTTTGAGTGATCTTGGCATAGTCAGGCTGGTTAGGCTCATCATCAGCTCAGGGCCCTTGCCCCCTCTACACGCAGCCCAGACAGCGAATGGGACTTCTCCCAGGAAGGGTTGCCAAGTCAAACCAACCGAGAACTTTTCAGAGAATGTGAAGACTCCCCAACACTGCAGCTTTCTGCATTACCCAGATTGTCAGAAGGGCTGTATTCCTGGCAACAAACCCGGGTACTCTCCCAAAGTCAGTCAACAGATTTGGAGGTACCAAACCTGAGGCACAGGGAACGGACAACTTGGTACTTGGGATGCAAGCGTGACATTTTGAAAACGAGGTCTATTTGCCATGTTTTTTCTGAATCTTATCAATCACATTAGTGTCAAAAGGGATAGAAAATTCAATGATAAAATTGATTTCATTGGATTTATCAAAAAGGACAAGATTAGGTTTGTTGGCCTGGATAGGTCTGAGGCTGAAAACGGACCTATTCCAAAGAATTTAATCAGGCACTTTGCTCATTTCTGTACCGTCCAGCAGTACAGAACCATCAACAAAATCAACACTGACATTGAGATTATGTCCCACATATTTGGCTCGTTAAAGGAAACTGTTGAATGCCTTGTTTTTATCATAAGTCTTAAAATGTTTCACAAGAAGATCATCAGACAAATTAATGTGTGCAGAAGTGAACAATACAAGTCTGAAATGAAGAGCCTACACGTTAATCAAACCACGTCCTCCCATTATGATTGGTATATATAAGAGATTGAGGGTGGTGGGATCGATTGTCTGACATGATACTTCGTGTGAGGGTGTCAATACCCTGAATTTCGTGTTTCATCCAATCAACAACACCAAAAGAATTTGAGAGGACAGGAACAGCATAAGTATTTGTGCCTTTATTGTTGTTCGTTGTTGCGAACGTAAATTATTGGTATTAGTATTAGTATTGGTATTACGGTAGTATTAGTATTGGTATTATTATTGTTGTTGTTATTTTACTTTTATTATTTTTTTATTTCAGTTCAACGGCTACGATTTTGTAACTATGATACAGGTTAAATCATTCCGACTTCGAGTAATAGGAAGAGAAGGAACCACTGAACGTGAAAAACGTCTGGAGAGTAAGATGAACATTGACGGCGAGATCCATGGTGTGGAGTCGGGCGGACTGGACATCACTGGCAGGTGAGGAGCCCCATTGTGGTCACTTTGTGGATGTCAGGGATAAAGAAGTCACACTGACATGTTTTCCTGATGGGGATGCAGGTTTTTGTTAAAGGGTTGAAGTCCTTGGTCAGGTCAGATAGGGACTGTCCAGTCAAAACAAATGGCTAGTCGGACTGTTGTTGTCAAATGGCGGTCGTGTTAAATATACAAACTATATCTGATGCACGTCCATGTCAATTCTTCATGGATTTGTATACTGGTATACTCGACGTTCCGCCATCACCCGTGGACAGCCTCTGTGGCCTAGTGGTAGAGGGTCCGCCCGGAGAGCGGAAGGTCTGGGGTTCAATCTCCCCTGCGACATGCCAATAGATGGTACTTGTTTTTACCCTGTCTGGCGCTCGGCATTAAGGGGCTAAAACAAGGACTGGTCGGCTCGGAGTCAGTATACTGTGTGTGAGTTGGGTATTCATGTTAAACTGCGGCATGGTATCTCAGTGAGCTAGCACTGTAAATCGGCATCTGTCAAGACTAGTACAAGTAGACACAAGCACACACACCACACGCACGCACGCGCACGCACACGCACACGCACACACACACACACACGTGCATGCATATTGCTATGTAAGTGCAGTAATCTTGGACGTGATGTTAAACCCCATTTCGCTTTTTGCTTCACCTCCATCACCCGTGAATACATACAGTGATTGATGAACTTTCCTTTGCCTAACAGGAGAAGAAATGGCAGCAAGGCGGTAGCCCATGTTGCACGTAAAATATTGCCGTTTGTGAGATGTCATATGAGCTTTCATTGGTCTTAGCACTTGCTGGTTTCCCTTGTCACTGTAACAAGGCCGTGGCTTGAATCGTCTGTTACAAATAGCTACAGCACTGTAAAACAGCAGTATGTATTCACGGGTGATGAAAGGACTTACAGTATACAAAATATTGACGATGTATCGGATCTACTGTTGCATGGATCACAGCAAAATTGTGCTGTATCACGACTCCAATTATCGCTGACTTTGCTATTATATCGGGAGCAAAATATGCCGAGTAGATTGAGTTGGGTTAAACGCCTCTTTGAACAGTATTCCAGCTATATCACAGCGTGTCAGTTTAATGTGGGAGGAAAGGATGCTGGTCTCAGACTTTTACCACTTCGGTGAAACCCACAAGCACGATATGGTGCTGACAAACCCAGAAACATAATCGCAGCGAACCGGGATTCAAACCCACGATCATCGGTTTCTGCCATGCCAAAAGTAAGCAACTTGGTACAGCAAAATGCGGTGCCTCAGATGACTGGGCCACCCACGCCCCAAGAGGATTGAAATTTAATAGAACTAATGTTGATGGTTTTTTCCGAACAAACCCCAAGGTTATTGATCCCCAGGAAATCTGTTCAAGTTTTAAGTAATGACCTTACTGTACTGTGATTCCCACTTACTCACGCATCATCTGGTTTTCAGACTCCATCGTAACCTAGTGAAGATGTTTGGAAGCAGAACTATGCGCTGATGAGATTGAAGGTTATAATCATTATCCTCCAACTCTGTCGTATAAACTGATCGTTGACGGCACTGTGTACACGTGGAATGAGGAGGCTGCAGATATACAGCAGGTTGGGAAACGTCGAAACTGGAGTTCTGAATCACCTGGAACATCTGAACCGAGGGGCAGTACGTCTCATCAACATAAGTCCAAGGAGAGATGTGGCAGAGGCCCCAATGCCTTATTTACTACTAGTGGCAGTGTAAACAACGCTATCAGTGTCAGCAGCATCCTCGCTACAGATGACAATCCTCTACCAGTGAATCCGAACACCGGAATAGACGATATAATTTGTTCGTCAAATACTGCACCTAGTGTCAGTTCTCCAAACACTTATGACAGGGCTATTGTGAATATACTAATACTACTACTACTACTACTAATAGTAATAATAGTAATAATAATAATAATACACAGTATAATGTAAGCACTGTTATTAATGTGTGCATGGAACATTCATGGACTTAAGTCCATAGGAGAGTCAGCTGACTTTATTTCATTTTGTTAAACTTTAGATATATTCTGTTTGATAGAAACCATGTGTTTAAACAAACTGTTCTGTAACCAGAATGGTAATTTTGAAACCTTTGTTTGTAATCCAAAGCGATTTTCCAGTCAAGGTAGATTTTCTGGAGGGTTAGCAGTATGTGTAAGAAAGACATTGACACATCTTCAGAAAGAGTTCACAGCCACTGGAACACTAACCTTATTAAGTTAAGGAGGGGGCACGGGTGGCCCAGTCGTCTAAGGCGCCGCGATTCGCTGTGCAGAGTTGCGTCCCTTGGGCACGCCAGAAACCTATGATTGTGGGTTCGAATCCCGGTTCGCCCCGATTATGTTTCTAGGTTTGTCAGCACCATACCCGTGCTCGTGGGTTTCACCAAAGTGGTAAACGTCTGAGACCTGCATCACTTCGGGCTTTCCTCCCACATTAAGCTGACACGCCGCGATATAACTGGAAAACTGTTATAAGCGGCATTAAATCCAACTCCCTCACTCCCTCAGAGTTAAGGATAGGTTGTCTCCCTTTACCATTTTCTTGGCGTTTGTTTATATTCCCCCCCACCCAACTACAGTAACAGTGAAGAAAACGGCATTGAATACTGGAACCAACAACTGATTGCATTATGTATGACGATGGAGAAACATGTACATTGATCCTGTCTGGTGATTTTAATGCTAGAACCGGGTGTCAATTAGATTATATTTTGGATGATGGTATTGAATATTTACCCACAGATGAAGATTACAAGGCAGATTATTTTGGTTGTGCTAAAAATTCACTTAATGCAAATGTTAATAATTTTGGTAGAAGTTTATCAGACTTCTGTAAGCTATTTTGTGTACATATTGTAAATGGGAGATCTGTACTGGATAGCACTGGTAGCTTTACCTCCAGCGCCCATACAGGTTGTAGTGTTGTGGATTATTTCATTGTATCTACTGAGTTATTTCCAAATGTTTTAGACATGTCAATTTCACAACGCACAGAGTCTGATCACTTACCTATAGTGACCGCCTCTGTGGTCTAGTGGTAGAGCATCCGACCGGGGAGCGGAAGGTCCTGGGTTCAATCCCCGGCCAGCGTCATACCCAAAGACGTTATAAGATGGTACTTGTTGTTACCCTGACTAGTCGGCTCGGAGTCAGTATACTGTGTCTGAGTGGGGTATTCATGTTCAACTGCGGTATGGTATTTCAGTGTGCTAGCACTATAAATTGGCCTCAGTCCGGACTAGTACAAGCAGCCTAACACGTACAAGCAGCCACACACGTGTCTGAACGTTGTTATATGAGTGCAATAATCTTGGACGTGACTTTAAACCACATTTCACCTCACCTCACCTCACCTCACATCACCTCACATCACTTATAGCAAAGTAAAATCATTGTTACAAACTGAAAGATATTTTACTTGTTTAAACAAAAAAGTTTAATCAGAACTTATTGTATAGCTTAGAATTTCTTTGTACGATATTGTGAACTCTATTTGTACAAACTGTTCATCTGGAGAAGTAGAGGATGAATACCATGTCTTACTTATATGTGAAACCTATTCCCATTTAAGGTATTAATGTCTCCATATGTTGCAAGGTATTTTTAAAGACTGTCAGTTAATGACAAATCTGCTAAACTCTGAAAATTCTGATATGATCCATGCTGTTTCTGTATTTTTAAAACATGTCTTTATAATGAGAATGTGTAACTTGATATAAAATCTAATCATGAACATCACGTGACAAATGTTAATATCCAATCTGCATTATACTTATGTGCCTTTATGCCTAAATAACTGAAAACACTGTCTGTATCAGGATTTGAAATGAAACACTTGTTATGGGTATAAGGGCGGTCGTGTAGCCTGGTGGTTAAAGCGTTCGCTCGTCAGGCAAGACCTAGGTTCGATTACCGGCATGGGTACAATGTGTGAAGCCCATTTCTGGTGTCCCCCGCCGTGATATTGCTGGAATATTGCTAAAAGCAGCGTAAAACCAAACTCACTCTCACCTTTCTTGGTATACTCTACTTCGTTAATCTGCCATGTAGTTGATATGTTACATGTGTTGAAATCATCTATTAAACCAATTCATTCTAGATTTGAACTTTGCTTCTTTGATTATTCTTAAAGGAACCGTTACTGTGATGCAGCTAGTTTTATCATACCTGTGATGCAGCTAGTTTTATCATTCCTGTGATGCTTTGTGAATGAACAGAGTGATCTCCAATATCACTCATTCGTTAGTTCTTGACAGACTGTTTGAAATTCACAAAGTTTCAAGTTTTTAAAAACAAAATAAAAAAGTCACTGTTCATTCTGGATGTCTTGAAACATGTGAAAAAATGTGTTCTAAAAATGTTAAGCTCCTCTTTTTGGAGAAAAACTGTGTGTCTTAGATCAGTGACTGAAAGAAAAAATTCAGGCCCTATCCCCCAGGCTAGTCTGTCTTACAGACCCTGATACAAATATATATCAAATACAGCCCATACAAGTCTATAATGTTGAGCAAGTCTAGATTACTGAAAATGAAGAGAGTCACTGGGCTCCCTTTGACTATATTTTTATTAAGATAACTGAACAAGTGTGTTTTTCTGTATGATGTGTTCATTTCAGAGACAAGATGTTAGTCTACCCCCAGGCATATTAGGGGGCGGTTGGGTAGCCTAGTGGTTAAAGCGTTTGCTTGTCACGCCGAAGACCCGGGTTCGATTCCCGACATGGGTACAATGTGTGAAGCCGATTTCTGGTGTCCCCCGCTGTGATATTGCTGGAATATTGCTAAAAGCAGCGTAAAACCATACTCACTCACTCACTCACCCAGGCATATTAAAAATTCTAGGTCCCCAAAGGCGTCTAAATTAGATCAATGGTTTTCAGACTTGATGGCATATCGTCATGGTCTGACGGCATGGGGCGTTGATCATGACATCAACCACTGGTTTTTCTGGCCAAGAGTATTTACAGACCTGCGCTGTAAAATAACATACTCTCATTTGGTATACATTTCTTCAGGAGAGGCTTGGTTTGATTTCTCACATGAGTCCCCCACTATTAAATATTACTACAGGGGCAAAATCACTCTCATTCATTGATGTAAGGGCGGTCGGGTAGCCTAGTGGTTAAAGCGTTCGCTCGTCACGTCGAAGACCCGGGTTCGATTCCCGACATTGGTACATCGTGTGAAACCCATTCTGGTGTTTCTGGTGTGATATTGCTGGAATATTGCTAAAAGCTGCGTAAAATCATACTCACTCACTCATTGATGTAAGCTCGCGGTCAAGAAGAAGGCAGCAAGAATAGCATTATAATGATGTTGATATGAACTACATGACTTTGGTGGTACGTAAAACCTAATTGTGATCATCCATTGGTGATTCTGGGTTACAAATAGGCCCCCAGCAACCTAAGCTGGTCGGAAGCGGCTACCAGATTTAGTTGATTGTGTGTAATCGTATTCTGACGGCTTGGATCGTTGCTCACAATATCTATCACTAGATTGTCCGGTCCAGACTTGAGTACTTATTGGCCACCATCCATCTTCCTGTGGCAAGGGGGGTAACTGACTATAAAATTTAGTTTCCACACTTGTCGAACTAGGTTGGAATTCTGGAGTTATATTTTGGCTCGACTAAAGAGTCTATGCATTGTCCAATCAAAATCGCGTAACGAACGACATGGATTTCAACGTGCAGATTTCAATCGACTTCAGGATTTGAAAAGCATGTGTACCACAAACTGGGCGTCGACAGATAATTTGAAATTTTTTTCATGTTTCAATCAAGGTACTCAAGTGGATTGTTTTACTTCTTCGGGGCGTAAGACCAGTTTTATTACAATATTGATCTTGATTATTGATCAGTTCGACTTGGCTGGGCGCTGCCATTTTGTTTGAAGCAAATTCAAGTGATATAAGAGATGGAACTTGATTGGTCAAAAGGAGAGATATAGAAGGGACATAACTCGTAATATCCACAGGTAGCGCTACGATCGAGCCTGGAAATTCCAGCCAAGTTCGGCAAGGATGGAAACTGGACTTTTCTAGTCAGATAACGCCCTTGCCTCGGGAAGATGACCACCGTCGTGTAGCTGGAATAGTGCTGAGTGCGGCGTCAAGCAACAACAAACAAAATCGAATCGTGTGGATAGCTATAACCACTTGTCAAAACAGACCCATCCTCGATTGTCATATCCAATAACCAGTGTGTCATAACTCAATTCTACCCTAGACTCATTTGCCACTGTAACTTCTTTCGGAGCCCGAATCAAATGGCTCGACGCTAAAAATAGACGTGCAATCACGAGCGTAATTCTGTGCTGAGTCAAAGGATTTGGAACCCTGACGTCACTTCCGGAACGAGGTTATCGTGGCGAATGAGCCCATGGTATTTAACCCAGTACAACGGATATATTTTTTATACACTGAGTAAATCACTAGAATTTTGAAAAGCGTATTGGGTTTTATAAAACCAACACGGTTTTTTCCCTGGCTTCAAACCGCTGAAATCTCTCTTATAGGGAATGAACATGTTCCGAAATTTGGCAGAGGAGTCATGATTTCTAGAGCTCAAAAGCCAACTTGAGAAATACGACCGTGATCTCAGTTTCAACTTTCAATGCATATATGTACGTACCCATTTATGAATGGTTGTCGTCACGCCGAAGACCCGGGTTCGATTCCCGACATGGGTACAATGTGTGAAGCCCATTTCTGGTGTCCCCCGCCGTGATATTGCTGGAATATTGCTAAAAGCGGCGTAAAACCATACTCACTCACTCACTCACTATGAATGGTTGTTGATCCGACCAGGATGAACACAAGATGGCGTCAACTGCCTTTAAAAACACGACGTGCATTTAGGTGATCTTTTTATTTTAAATATAACCACGTTTTATGCATATACGGCCATACAAACAACTGAAATTTGTAGTATTGGTGTCCATATGAAGTTACAGTATTTGGCTATTTGGCAACTGATTTACAAGTCTGTTACAGACCAGGCGTAAGTTAAGCTGTTTAATTTTCGTTTTGATTACAACATTGCATTAACTCCAACTCGAAATGTCAATATCAAGAGGCATTAGATAAAACGTCCATGAAAACGTCCATGACTTGGATCCATCGACAGAAAGGTCCATTCTAGGTCTGGACCTTGTAACTACGGCGCATGCGTTGTGAGAAATTAAGATAGTGTATGAGTAAATAGGGTAGCCAATGACTGATATATTGTGCAACATAATAGTATCTGAGTTTGCAGACAAAGTAGATTCTTGAAGGTATCAGCAAGCAACCATTCCAAACGCTGCTTAATCTCAATACGAGGCTTACATAATAGTCACTTTTCTACACACACATCCTAATTGATTGTTATAGCCCCGGTGCCGTGTTTAGAAATGGCGGCTTTAGGTGACATTTTACTTTAGGTCCCTTAGGTCCTTCAAAACATTGTATCAAACTTGCTGACCCGTGATGATCTGGGGTAGAATAGGTCTTCAGCAACCCATGCTTGCCGTAAAAGCCGACTAACAGAACCGGGTGGTCAGACTCGCTGACTTGGTTGATGCATGATATCAAATCCCAATTTCGTGGATCGATACTCATGATATGAATCCCTGGACACCAGACTCGATTATTCAGACCACCGTCATATAGCTGGAATATTGCTGAGTTAAACAACAAACAGTCAGTATCAAACTTGCTGGGACTGCCAAATGGATCAGGCGCGGTGTCCCTTTAAATTTACCCTTCTCTACGCCATCAGTTGTTGTGGAACGTCGGCTTCCTTTCAGTTTACAAGAGTGGAAGTCGCTGACTACGATTGTGGCTCGTGAGCTCCACTTTCATATTATCAACTGTCTTCTTAAGAGATCTGACGAAGAACACGTGGAGCATCAGGAACACCGTCAGCAAGAACAGGAACAAGGAACATGTGATGGGGTTCAGGTAGAGCAAGGGAAAACCTCTGTTTGTGTCGTCAGAAGGCTGGACTTCCAAACTGCTCACAGACCGACCTTAAACGAAAGCAATTGTCTCGTGATAAATAGGTATTTAGCTGAGTGTAAATATAATTATTTATAACAAGAGTCATCAGGAGATGACATACCCCGTTTTACCACGGGGACATAAAAAATGAATTATGCGAGTATTTTTATTCCTGATATTTGATATTTAAGATGAGGAAACCCAGACAGGTAATAATCTCTTTATCATGTCGTGTCATTCTTAAATAATCCATGTTTAAGACGTAATTTAACTCTCTGAAGTAACTATACAGACTGCGTATGAATACAATGCAAGGGTGTATCAAATAGTGCCTGCTGATTTGAAGCCATGCTAGGGATGGAGCGTATAAGAGTTGTTCCTGCAGGGTAACCTTATTTGCATATTTATCGGATCATGACACCAAGTTTGTCGAATTGACTATAACAGCCTTCGTCAGTTATCCAAATATGGACCAAAATAGGGTTAACAGCCTCCGAACAATTGGGATCACAACTTAAATATCATTATGGATGCTGTTGAAGCATATGCCAACAAATGGGCCACAAGAGAAGAGGAACCTGTTAAATGTCTTTCAGAGTTGGTTAAGTCAGTGATTGATGTTGTAGAAGGCACAATCAGAAATGATAATATACTATACCAGTGTAAGAGAAATGATAATATACTATATCAGTGTAAGAGAAATAATGTACTATATTAGTGTAAGGGAAATGATAATTTACTATATCAGTGTAAGAGAAATAATATACTATACCAGTGTAAGAGAAATGATTATATACTACATCAGTGTTAGAGAAATGATAATATACTAATAGTGTAAGGGAAATGATAATACACTAGACCAGTGTAAGAGAAATGACAATACACTTTACCAAGGTAAGAGAAATGATAATTTACTGTCCCAAGGTAAGAGAAATGATAATTTACGATATCAGTGTAAAAGAAATGATAATATACCATATCAGTGTAAGATAAATGATAATATACTATATCAGTGTAAGAGAAATGACAATACACTTTACCAAGGTAAGAGAAATGATAATTTACCATATCAGTGTAAGAGAAATGATAATTTACTATATCAGTGTAAGAGACATAATATACTATATCAGTGTAAGAGAAATGATATTATTCTATATCAGTGTAAGAGACATAATGTACTATATCAGTGTAAGAGACATAATATACTATATCAGTGTAAGAGAAATGATAATATTCTATATCAGTGTAAGAGAAATGATAATATTCTATATCAGTGTAAGAGACATAATGTTCTATATCTGTGTAAGAGACATAATATACTATATCAGTGTAAGAGAAATGATAATATTCTATATCAGTGTAAGAGACATAATGTACTATATCAGTGTAAGGGACATAATAATATTCTATATCAGTGTAAGAGAAATGATAATATTCTATATCAGTGTAAGAGACATAATGTACTATATCAGTGTAAGAGACATAATATACTATATCAGTGTAGGATAAATGATAATTTACTATATCAGTGTAAGAGAAATGATAATTTATTGTCCCAAGGTAAGAGAATGATAATTTACTATATCAGTGTAAGAGAAAGTATAATTTACTATATCAGTGTAAGAGAAACTCAGCAATATTCCAGCTTTATGACGGCGGTCTGTAAATAATCGCGTCTGGACCAGACAATCCAGTGATTGACATCATGAGCATCGATCCACGTAATTGGGATACGATGACATGCATCAACCAAGTCAGCGAACCTGACCACCCGATCCTGTTAGTCGCCTCTTACGACAAGCATAGTCGCCTTTTAAACAATGAGACATTCAATGTTCGAAGGATGTATAATTTCTTGATCCAATCTGACTCGCGATGACTTATCGTTATGACTTGGTTTTGGTTTTAACATTCACCTTGTGCTTCCCTCTGTAGAACCGTCACGGTCGTGAACACTGGTTTTCTTACCCTCGGGCCATCATCATCTTCAGAACGTCTTTTTCTATATTCGAATCTTAAATGTCTCGAATACGCGCAGCGCTAAATAAAAAGAGGATTCTAAAAGTTTACTTCGTTTCAAAGTTTTAAAAACATGTACTCAGGCACAGTTTCAATTTTTTTTAAATCTTATCTCCAGAAAAATCCTAGACCCCTGCAGATTATCAAATGGTCTGTTACATTGGCCAAGAGGTGAGGTGAAATGGGGTTTAACGTCGCGTCCAAGATTATTGCACTTATGTAGCGACGTGCATGTACGTGTGTGAGTGGTGCAAGCTCACTGAGATAGCTTGCCGCAGTTTTAACATGAATACCCCACTCAGACACAGTATACTGACTCCGAGCCGACAAGTCCTTGTTTTAGCCCCTTAATGCCGAGAGCCAGGCAGGGTAACAACAAGTACCACCTTTTAACGTCTCTTGGTATGACGCGGCCGGGGATCGAACCACGGACCTTCCGCTCTCCGGCTATGATGATAAGGTGATGGCTATGATTGAAGCCGGTGATGGATATGAGTGACGGCTATGATTGATGCCGGTGGTGGATGAGAGTGATGGATTGGTTGATACCAGTGATGGATTTGGTTGATGCTGGTACCTGGAGCGACGTTATGAAACGTAATCTATTCATAAAGACCTCTAAGGAAAGATGAAATGTATATTTACATTTGAACACATCAGCTGTGATTTGAAACAGTACTCATATTGACACCGGAAGCTGATCGATGCGTACCCCGGGAAAGTGAAAATTGGAAATGGCTTCGTGATTAACGAGTCCCCTCCCTTCATTGGAGACACGGAGGAATTGAGAGCTGTGCACCTGAAATGTGGAAATATGTTTAATGTTTCACTCATCAGGGTTTCCACTACCGATAAACCGCTGTAAAAGTACCCCGTCATAAGTTCTACAGTATAGTAAATGTGTAAAACGCACACATATTGCCGTGAAAACCTTTAACTATACATGGTCCCACAACATACGTCAATAGACCCGGGACGATACGGGGTAGAATAGGTCTTCAGCAACCCATGCTTGCCGTAAAACGCGACTGTGCTAATCGTAAGAGGTGACTAACGGAATCGGGTGGTCAGGCTCGCTGACGTGGTTGATGCATGTCAATTGCGTGGATCGATGCTCATGATGTCAATCACTGAATTGTCTGGTCCAGACTCGATTTTTTTACAGACCGCTGTCATATAGCTGGAATATTGCTGAGTGTGGCCTTAAACAACAAACAAATCATACGTCAATAGTAGTGCTTCCACCGTCGTATAGCGTGTAACTCCCGAAGACTACCGCGGAATAGCACGATTTCTCTGAAACCTTTACACTTTGCAAATCTTATACCTATTTCACGTAATAAAAACAAGTATACCGAATTTATATTCCGCCTCAGAGTGGCTAGTTTCTTTCTGTTATATGGCGATAGGTCACTGCCATCGCGTTCTCACGATCCACTCTTCACCGGGGTGTATGCACAACGTTATTGTTCATCCATCATCCGGGGCGGTTGGGTAGCCTAGTTGTCAAAGCGTTCGCTCGTCAGGCCGAATACCCAGGTTCGACTCTCCTAATTGGTACAATGTGTGAAACCCATTTCTAGTGTCCCCCGCCGTGATGTTGCTGGAAAACTGCTATAAGCGGCGTAAAACCATACTCACTCACTCACTCATCGATCAGCCGTTGATGCATACGGCCGATAGAAAAGGCAGGGCAGCATTGACGCGTGTTTATTTTAGTAAAGTAAAGAAAAGATGCCGTTTATAAGTCACGGGAGCCAAATGAGCCCAAGTGCGTACCACTGCGAGTAGTTTGGGCGAAATAAGGAACTGAACACAGAATAACGGTTCCATATTCACCCATTTTCATCTATTAGCAGTCTTGAGTAGGTTCCGTCTGAAGTGTAGGCCTCGCAGTTGTATCCCGAAACTCCTCGCGCCACGAACCCTGTAGGGAATGCAGTAGAAACATCACTGTGAATCAAGATTCGGTCAAGTATAGTGCAATGGGTTACATATATTTATGAGTTAGTAAAAGTATTCCAGTATTGGCGCCACAGGTGGGCCAGTCGTCTAACGCGCCGCAATTCGAACGTAGGTTCGAAGCTCAGGTATGATGTTTCGGGGTTTGTCTGCTCCATACCCTTGCTTGTGGGTTTCGCAAAAGTGGTAAGCGTCTGAGACCTGCATCGCCTCGGGCTTTCATTCCATATCAAGCTGACACGCCTTGATAAGACCGAAATACTATTAGAAGCGGTCTGCCCTAATCTCACTCACTCACCATAACCAGTTTCATGAACTAAAGCCGTACTAACGATGATACTAGACTCTTTTACTGAAAAAAACCATTGCTTATATTGTTAATCTATTCGGATTCCTAAAATGACTTTTTACAAAAAGACAAACTATTTCATTTATTTCTCGTTCACCGCGAATGTGTTGATGTCAACACTGGAGATAACTGTCGTTGAGTTTCTCACATGTCAAGGATGGATAACTCTTAATGTCATCAGTTGCATGGTGACTAGCATTGTTAGACGTGCATTTTTTTGTTACCGATTCTTTAAGATTTTTTAGGTCAAAAGACGAGAAACGAGACTCAACAGATATCAAATGTTATGATCATAAAAATGATTGTAGGGTGCGTGACGCTATTGAATGTTTAAACTACAGTATTCCTAATGAATGTAAACAAGTTAGTTGAATTATGTATATTTGACAAAATAAATACTTGTAAGTCAGGTTACCGTATCATATGACCATTTGCATGACCAGTTGATTGGAAAATAGTACCAGAAAGTTCGGGAAGTTACATGTTCTTGATAAACAGTGCTTGCGTTCAATTTCAAAACCCTGGACGACCCAGGGTTGATCAATGTTAGCACATGTCAACTGTCTTACGTCATACTTCGGTTACCCAAAGTTGCCTATACCTACTGTGCTGTACTTCAAGTGACGTCATCGTTAAAGGTAATTGATTTTATTTATTAATTCAATCATTAATAAAATCGTGTAAAAGAATATAATTAACTAGGTATTGACAGTGTTGTGTGGAAGTGTATTTTATTGTTAAACAATGTTGGAATTGTATTAAATTGTTTCTGTTAAGATTGAGTTGACGCTTATATCATTGTGTTTAGACAATAACTAGTTGTAAGGAATGTAGTACTATCTAATATAAGGAGTGGTGTGGAAGTTACTATCTTCAGATTCTTTTTGGAGTCAAGTGTAATCTAGAATCTTCTGGTCAAGCACTGTGTAGAACCTTACAGGTGATATGTATAACATATAAGGGGGCAAGGCGTGCCTATCGCATCTAACATTACATCAAGACCACCGGTTGTGAGAAGATCATTATTTTCACTCAGGATATCCAATGTCTGTCTCTTTTGGAAGCTTGACCACTGTTGGTTGTAGGTAACAACAGTATATATGAATTATGAAATGCGCTAGGGAAAATTAACTTTCGATTGTTGATATACATGTAAATACTTTAGAATAAAAAAATAACTTTGATAGTGATTTTGCATAATTGATGTTCTACGCGTTGGTTAACCTTTCTTGCCTTTTTTACAATCATTAAAAAGAAAATGTACACTCAAGCTTTGTCAAGCAAAGAAATGAAAAACACAGACAGAATTGTGGTAACTTTCGGTTGACTGAGGTCACTCAAACTTTCGGCTAAATATTCAAGTCTGTGCAACCTTGTGTTATGACCTATTGGGACCGCCAAGTTCACATTAATGTATCGGGCCGTGAAGATCCGGGGTAGAATAGGTCTTCAGCAACCCATGCTTGCCGTAAAAGGAGACCATGCTTGTCGTAAGAGGCGACAAACGGGATTGGGTGGTCAGGCTCTCTGACTTGGTTGATGCATGTCATCGTGTCTGAATTGCGTGGACCGATGCTCATGATGTCAATCACTGGATTGTCTGGTCCAGACTTGATTATTTACAGACCGCCGTCATATAGCTGGAATATTGCTGAGTGCGGCCGGCGTTAAACAGCAGCAACAACAACAGCATTATCATAATTGCACTAGAAGTGGTAATCTTTTGATCTTGCACTTTTACATTGCAAGATACATTGATGCTGATTCTTAGTGTGAATAAACTTATTTTGATAACACCATCCTGTTGTATTTCAATTATTCTTTCTGTGTGTATACATTAAGAGGTTATCGTTCGATTCAATCTCTGTGTTAACTCGCAGCAATATCGAATATCAAATTATTGACCTGATTTAGTGTGTAGCTCTAGTTTGAGAGCAACATAGCCCCCTAGCTTGATCTTCTGTACTTCCTCAAGCGTCGCGGGGCTGATCACTGACAGTTTCACCTCTTCTTTCGTTTCATCCAGATTCTTCACGACAGTATCAACCTTTCTGCAGAATATAAGAATCATGTTCCTATTATCCATTTCAAAGTGGTCATATATATTACATTAGACCCTCTTCGTCTGCACGAAACGTTTACAGAAACGTCAGGGGCGGTGGGGTAGCCTAGTGGTTAAAGTGTTCGCTTGTCACGCCGAAGACACGGGTTCGATTCCCCACATGGGTACAATGTCTGGTGTCGCCCGCCGTGATAATGCTGGAATATTGCTAAAAGCGGCGTAAAACTATACTCGTTCACTCACTATGGGTTAATCAACGTCTTTTAAAGGTCTTGAATCCTCACATGGATCCAATATGTAAAATCCATTTCCAATACCATTTGCCGGTAATACTAGATGAATAATAATAATAAACAGGAGCAAAAAAAACAATACCTCACAGTTGATTTTGTTTGATATTCAATTGAAAATATCTTAAGCGATATTATATCCAAAACACGAACTGTACTGGCGCTTATTCGGTACTCAAAGAATACTTCTGTATGGCTTTATGTTTTTTAAAGGTATGGTAGAGGTCATGTGGTTGCAAATTCGTTTTTTGCCCCAGTCTTCATTGATCCGATTTATTTTTACACAAAATTACCTAGCCACGGATTACTTTTTTCAAACTGTTGCAGGAATGAGTGCTGGTTAAATAGACATAATCTAATTTAACAACAGTTCTTTCTATATATAATTACTAACTCGGTAAACTTTCTTTTGTCCCACGGTTTAGTATACAAATAGTTACATTTCTTAGTTATTTTGAAATTTGAGGAACTTTTATTACCAAGTATACGGTAACTATGCTTCGTTTACCATAGCAACTGATTATTACTAACAATCTGCCCATGCATGTTTATCATCTTATTTACAGATATAGAGAATACTCGGTCATAACGAATCGTATTGAAATCCTTAAAGGGTTGACGGCCTCTGTTATTGTTCACGCAAATAACGACCTTCGAGAAACACAAAATGATATGGGGGTACCTCGCCTTTCGTTAATTCTCGTGAGCGAATATGGTTTTACGCCGCTTCAAGCAACATTCCAGCATTGCGACACAAGAGACACCAGATATGGGATTCCCACGCTGTGTTCATGTGTGGAATAGTACCCGGTCCTTCGGCGTGACGAGTGACTGATTCATCCATGACGCCACCCCCTACCCCGTCACATCGCGAGGTGAATATGTTGAATATGTTTACAACTGTACCCCTCAATGTCGATATCGTCGTCGCTTGACAGTGTGTCAGCCTTGCTGAAGTCGCATTTGACGACGACGTTGAGGTCTGCAAGGGACAACACCCCGGTAAGTTCTTGGAAACGGAAAGCCCATTGCCAAACCCCCTCCTCCGTCTGAAAAAGAAACAGAGTGAGTGAGTGAGGGAGGGATTGAGTGAGATGGGCTACTCCCCTTTGAACACTATTAGGTTATATCACGACCGGCTAGAAGAAGTTTATCAATGCGTGTCGAGTTATCCGAACTGACATTGGAGGGGGTTTCCTTGCTGCACTCTTCACCCTGGCAGAATCATATAAACGACGGCGTTCCCGGGGCGTGTGAAAAACCGGAAGCATTGAGATTTTGACAGTTTTTTGTGCTCACACAATTCACCTTCGAGCAACATGTAATATCAGGGTCTCGACATCCGGACTGTTTATGAAATATCATAGTCACGTGAACTAGTGAAACTGAGCGAACTATGTTGAATATAGACTGAACAACAAAAGTTCCTGTGACTTGGAATAGGATTTAATACAAAGTTATGTTTCTTACCAAATTTGAAACAATTACGGTTTGCAACAGATAAAAGACTCATGTAAGTGTTCAAATGGTTTAATTTGCCATACTGACTTCAGAAAACGCGTGATTTCAGAAAAAAATGAACATGCCAAAATGTCAATTTACAAATCAACAGCGTGTGTGTCCACCTCGGGTTGCGATGCAAGCAATACACCTTCGTCTCATGGAATGGACCAGGGGTCGCACAAAGTCCTGTGGGATATCTGTCCATATCTGCTGGAGCATGTTTCGAAGTTCCTGGAGTGTCTGTGGAACACGTGGTTGACGTCGAAGGCGCCGATCCATCTCATCTCACATGTGCTCGATTGGTGAGAGATCAGGGGAGCGAGCCGGCCAGGGGATGACATTCACGTTGTTTTGTTGAAGGGAATCCTGACCAAGTCGAGCAATATGAGGAGTGGCGTTGTCATGTTGAAAGGTAATGCCTGGGCCATGACGACGCAAAAACGGTAGAACAACAGGGCCGATGATCTCGTCGCGGTAGCGCTGTCCATTGAGTTCCCTCTACCACTATCAACGGGTCTTCTGTCTTGCTGTAATCCCATCCCATACCATAACGCTGCCGCCTCCGAACCGATCTTCTTCCATGACACAATGCTTGACGTAACGTTCACCTCGACGTCGGTACTCTCGAATCCGTCCATCGCTGTGGCTGAGGTGAAAACGAGACTCGTCAGTGAATAGAACTTGTCCCCACTGCATGGCCGTTCAGCGTAGACGCTGTCTGCACCACTGTAGACGTGCTTGACGGTGGTTTCCTGTCAAAATGGGACGTCTGGCGGGTCTTCTGGCGAAAATCCCTGCACATCTGAGACGGCAACGTACGGTTTGTGAAGATATTCGTCGAAGGCCAGGGATGCTTCTTGCAGTCACTGTTGCTGGCTGGAATCCATTTCGTAGGTGTGTTGTCCGAATCCAGTTGTCTTGTCGATTATTGGTTACGTGTGGCCTGCCACTCCGAGGATGGTCTCTGACTGCATTCGTCTTTTGCCAACGTTGCCATAAACACCAAATGGTGTTTCCGTGGACGTGAAATTGTCTTGCAACATCACGTTGACTCGATCCCGCTTCAAGCATACCAATGGCTCGCAGACGCTCATTTTCGGACAGGCGTGGCATTTCGTAATGTTGAATAATTGCGTAATTTTGTTGTTTTTCTGGGTGGTTGTTGTCAGCACGATGCTAAACAATGCATATGGAATCCCGTTTTTATACCCATTCTTGGGTAGTGAAATGCATGGGGGCTTGCATAAAAGTCAACTTTTGGATGGATTGAATGCTTTTCTGTAGCAGTTGCGTTTTTATGACTTGATTCCATACATGTACTACAATATTGTAAACCAAACTTTACAAAAAATACACTAAAATGTTGGCGTCACAGGAACTTTTGTTGTTGAGTATAGATTCCTTCAAATGCTGGCCGAAATGACCCGTGGGATTGAAGTGGGCCAATTCTTGCATATCGTCAAGGGAATGCTTCGGCAAAGATTATTTTGTTTGTTGGTTAACGCCGCACTCAGCAATAGACAAGCTATGTGACGGGGGTCCTAATATAGGGAAATAATCGTGTCTGGACCAGACAATCCAGTGATCGACATCATGAGCATCGATCTTCGCGATAATTCGATAATTCGACAGTAGATGATACTTCTTCTTAGTAGATTATTATATTATGTACGTAGATGAACGTATCATCTACGCAGATGTTAGTATCATCTACGGACATGTAAGTATCATCTACGTATATATTTTATTTGTAAAGACTGTGCCACTAATACGCTTCTATAAGGGATATAAATAAAAGAAATAAAGATGTATCGAAGATGAATATCATTACTTTTCATTCTCATTTTCCCCAAATACATCACTGTCGGTCGTAAATATATCGAGAAGTATTTCTTTGCAAAACCCAACACGTGTAAATGTATAGCAACAATGTCCACAGACAAACTCTGTATTCAACGCAAACTTTCTTTTTGTCCAGCATGCAGTATCAAACAGAATGTAAAATATAATCATTTACAACTCCACCATTGAAACGTATTGCGTACTACTGAATCTGGCATTTCTGTAAAAGCAAATATTTTGTGTGATTAGTTGATCGATCGATCGATTTAAGAAACTGGATCGATCGATTTAAGAAGGTGGATTGATTGGTTGATTGATAGTTAAAGTCGTCTTTAACTTACCACAACGCCTCCGCATCTGTTACTGTCGTCATCAGTGATGTTGACAACTCTACTGTACACTCCCGTGGCGTAGTCAAATGTGAAGGACGCCTTGTTGCACCCGTCCATGCTGACGCCGTGTTGATCTGTGGCGTCTATTGCGTCGTAACTTATGCCCCTAGGGTTGACACGGAGGAGCATACTCTGGCCCCACACTTTCGAGTTGAAACAGTAGAACGCCACTGCGGACATGACATCAACGATTATCGTTTGTTTGTCTCGTTTGTTTGTTGTTTAACGCCGCACTCAGAAATATTCCAGCTATATGACGGCGGTCTGTAAATAATCGTGTCTGGACCAGACAATCTAGTGATTGACATCATGAGCATTGATCCACGCAATCGGGATACGGTGACATACATCAACCATGTCAGCAAGCCTATATAACTCACAACAATTCTGCAAACGATATTAGTTTGTGGATTGATTGAAGGCTTGAATCACAAAACCACGAAACAGTAACCCTTCAAAATGGCGCGCTTAAATGAATGAGGGTAAATAATCACGATGTTCTCTACGAATTTCAAACCTATTATATTTATATACTAAACGCTCTTTCGGGTGCCTCTTCCCCTTGTTTTACGTTCATAATTGCAAAGGTTTCCACTTTGGGAATGAACACATATTGAATAGGAAATTAGGAAAGCAAACCCCGCTCACCTGCAAAGGACGGCGTCACCGTGCCGTGTATATGACGTACGCTATATTAATGATTAATGTATGTATACTTGCATATTTCCGTCTATATCAACTAGATAGAGTCTTTGTATGACTTACCCTCTGCCGGCACAAGTGCTGGAAATAAAGAAAATTTTAATAAATATTGAAATAGTCTTAACTGTGTATTAATGGAAACATAAACACCGTGAACAGTTCGCGTCTTTGTGAACGTTACGTCCCACCGTCACCGGTCAATACATACGGTTGCTAAGCAGTGAGGTGGGGTGTAATGGGGTTTAACGTCGCGTCCAAGATTATTGCACTTATATAGTGACGTGGCTGCTTGTACTAGTCCGGACTGATGCCGATTTATAGTGCTAGCTCACTGAGATACCATGCCGCAGTTGAACATGACTACCCCACTCAGACACAGTATACTGACTCCGAGCCGACCAGTCCTTGTTTTAGCCCCTCAATGCCGAGCGCCAGACAGGGTAACAACAAGTGCCATTTTTTAACGTCTTTTGGTTTTACGCGGTTGGGGATCGAACCCCTTATCTTCCGCTCTCCGGGCGGACGCTCTACCACTAGACCACGGAGGCGGTCCGCTAAGCAGGGTCGTAGTGAGGCATGTCTAGTTTAAGTAAACTGATGCAATGATGAACCAGAGTCTGAAATTAAAACAATACCAGGCTTCCATAATGGCCAACATACTTCAGAAGTTGCAGATCCTAACTAAACTCTTCAGGCCCCAAATAAAAAAACTGTAGCTTATTGTGATAAATAAATCGACACGTAAATTTACCACAGGCCTTAAGGACACGAGATCCACCTGCCACGGACCTACGGGCAAGCGCTTATTTCGAACACTGGTTTGAGCTTTGTGTTTCTCCTACCACTGTTATACATTAAATCAATGTATTAAGGAGACAGTGTAAAGGCTATTGCACGTGTTGTCTAAGACATTTACCATTTTGCTGACACCTACAAGCACGGGTATGATGCTGACAAACCTAGCAACATAAGCGGGACGAACCGGGATTCGAACCCACAATCATAGGTTTCTGGAGTGCCAAGAGAGACGCAACTCTGCACAACGAATTGTGGTGCCTTAGGCGACTGGGCCACCATATTATTTCTCCATGGATGTAAGTGATTATGTTTTTTTATGTATCTGCCATTAATACTACAGCTACACCTCTGTTGAAATGAAACGTCCCATCGGTCAAGCCTTGTACACCAGGGCGGTCAGGGATGTTAACGGGGGCACGGGTAGTCCAGTCGTTAAAGACACCGGATTTCAACTGTTTAGAACTGCGTCCCTTACTTGTACCAGGATCCGCTGATCGTGGTTTCGAGTCCCAGATTATGATCCTTGATATGTCCGCACCATACTTTGTGGGATTCACCAACGTGGTAAACGCCCATTGTCTGTTGTTTTTCACTCACAGTAAGCTGACACGTCGGGAGAGAACTACAATACTTTAAGAAGTGTAAACACAAATTCACTCACTCACTTCATCCTAGACCCTGAAAAAGTCTTTGCTCACCAGAAGCTTGCTTTCAAACTGACCACATCATCAATCTTTTTGGTTGTCAATTCAAAATTCGTTTGCAATTATGGCGGAATAATTTAGGCAACGAAATCGATGGACGTGGTTTCAAATGCCAGATTAGTGGCGAAATTATCCTTAAATTGTGCATCGTGCCCTATATGCTTTCACAAACTTGGCACACATCCACAGCCTGCATCCTTCATCCTTGATTATCCAACGTATTCTTATATCTCCACCATTATGATATAATAATACTCTGGATTATCGAGGATGGCGTTACTTAGGCCTTGTCAGCACATATAAGTTAAACCGCCTTGATATTACTTTATTGCCGTTGAATGCGGTGTATGTAATGAACTCATATTTTCAGAAGTTATATAAGAGAAATATATGGAATCCTAGAAGGGAGATTGTCATGTTGTCGCCATTTCACAAACAATAAAACAATTAGCGACAATGCGACAACGCGACATTTATCAAGGTCAGAATATGTCGCGTTGTCGCATTGTCGCCGTTTGGTAAAATAAGGATTTATTTATTATTCAAAGCGCGACAATGCGAAAAATGGCCAAAACGTCGCGTTGTCGTATTATCGCACTTTGGTGACTTTTGACACTGTTTGCTTGTTTTTGAACGTCCGACAACGCGACAATGTCGGACTCCCTTCCAGGGTTCCATAGAAATACGTACGCAGGTCGCATTTGTCACCATGCCACCCGATCTCACATCCGTATGAACATTTTTCTATGTATCTCGTGCACTTTTCTTCTTGGCAATGGCAAGGTTCATCACAGCTGTGACCATACCATCCATCCTCGCATTCTGGAACAGCAATAGCGTGGCATGAATACTTGACATATCGGCCGAATAAACTGAGGGGCAAAAGAAAGTATACCGAGTTAGTTTTTGAAGTAATTATATATAGAAAGAACTGTTGTTAAATTTGATCATGTCTACTTAACCATCACTCATTTCTGCAACAGTTTGTAAAAGGTTATCCGCGGCTGGGAAATTTGTGTAAAACTAAACTGGTTCAATGAAGGCGAGCTGAAATGGGGTTAAACGTTGCGTCCAAGATTATTGCACTTACATAGCGACGGTTCAATAAAGACTTGGATAAAAATGAATTTGCAACCATATGCCCCCTACTGTGTTTGAAATGTTGTAAATTTGTGCCGAAAAAAGCAAAATTATATTTCAAAGATAAGATATCTAAGATATGTGGACATCTAAGGTAACCAACAACAGTTGTGTATCAAATGTTAATTTTAATTTTAAATATTTGAAATCAATTGAATAAACATAAAACCATGTAGAAGTATTCTTTGAGAGCTGACTAAGCGCCAATACCGGAAATTTTTGGGGATATAAAATCGCAATATTAAGAAAATATTTTCAATTGAAAATTTAAGTTATGATAAAATCAACAGACGGGTATAGTTTCTTTTGCTCCTCAGTATATATTATATCATGTAGCTATTTTCATGTGGTCACGGGATATACTGGAGGTAGACTTTGCATAAGGTTTGTGTCTCTCAGTGAATTCGAGTTTATTCGAGCGAAATATCGATTTTATATTTAGGAGATCATCCTACTTTGTTTTGAAATTTGATGTAGTACAAACTCTTTTGAAATGCTTACTATTTACACAGGGTACACAGGTCCGCTGTCTTAGAACATTCCGAAAAGGGGTCACAGGTAGTTATAAATGCGAAAATACTACTAAAGTTCAACATTAAAATACACATAGTGTAGAATAAGGGATCAAAACACATAGTTTTTCAAAAAGAAGTCGACAAATCACCTTCCAAAGGGAGTCCAAAGATTTTTGTTTTAATTTCATCGCAACCTGTTGTCCCACTGTAGAGTTGATACCTCAAATGTATAAATAAGTAGGTATCTACAGTGGGACTACATCAAAACACTGTAGGTTTATCTGTGCCGTTGACCTGGCGTGTATCAAAGACGTGGTTTGTATTAGAGACCCAAAGTGTAATAGAGGAAATATCGATACGTTGCACAGTTCCTATGGGTGATCGATCAGCAGCACGTTTTTTGTGTGAAAAGGTTTAACATATTTAAAAGGGGTTTCCGTAGCAAAAAGGAAACCTAGTTTTAACCAATCAGAATCAAGCATTCTCCAATGTCATGGTAGAATTCCAGATAGATAAAGTATTACATCATTAAAATACATTATAAATATATAATAAGGTTTGATATTTTCAACTACTTTTCGATAAATCATTATTACGTTGTTGTTGTTGTTGTTGTTGATGTTTTCCTGACGTAAAAAACACTTAAATGGAATATAAAACACTTGAACGAATGAATGCAGATACGGGGAAGTCACATACGTCATCGTGACATCTGCAGAAACATCATGCATCTTTACGTCTCTACGCCAGGGGTAGGGGGGTGGGGGGGGGGTGGGGTGGGGGGGGGGGGGGGTGCAAGGGTGGGTGGGGGGGGGGGGGGTGCAAGGGTGGAGGCGAAACAATGCACATACATTATGCCGTCACTTCAAGCCATTTTGTCTCTATAAAACAATATATTCGCATCTCTATGTCTGGTTCCTTGGAATCGAAGTAGCATTTACGTGCGTTTTCTTTCAAAACAAATGAACCATTGCCTCCTTCCGGAAGTGACGTCACCGACTCCTTCTCACAGAATGGCTCTCGTGTATGAGGGTAATTTGAGTGGGGCGGCTAGGGCATTTGAATCAGATTCCAAAATGAACCTACATGTATGGTAGAGAAATGGTCCAGGAAAATATAACACCCTGGATAATCGAGCCTTGATATTACGTTTGTGATAGGTGTCAACGGTGCGGCAGGATACGCTTACCTTTTCGCGAGCACCTGGTATCATATCTTTTTAAAAGTGATTCATAAAAACATGCTAATGATATGGTTGGAATCGTACAATCATATCTGTTTTTGACGGAGATTTCTTATGAATATGTAAAGGCTTTTGACGCTACTTTCCCCCACTGTTGTGTTTGTTTGTTTGTTGTTTAACGCCGAACTCATCAATATTCCAGCTATATGACCACCCGATCCCGTTAGTCATCTCTTATGACAAGCATAGTCGGGTTTTACGGCAAGCATGGGTTGCTGAAGACCTATTCTACCCCGGATCTGCACGGGTCTTTTCCTACTGACTCTCTCACATGGTAGAAAGGCGAATTACATATATTTGGGGTCTTTGGGGTATATATCTTTAGGGTCTATCAGCATCATTCGTGAACTTGTGGATTTCACCAAAATGGTAAAGAAAATAAGGCGATGGAATGCTTCTCAACCGCTGGAAGACCTAAATTATTTTTGATCAAAGGCGTCACAGTCGAATTACCTTTCTGCGCAGGACACTGACGCTAGCTCTGCCAGTGAAGACTTGCAAGTTGGGACCGAAAACAATAACAAGATTGTTCTTGTTCGATTGGGAAGCTGTGGAATGGGTGCTCGTTGGTTCCGTTTTTAGTTACCCTTTTAGTCATACAAGTGAAATACCATTCAAAGTGGCGTTCAAACAAACTCTCTCACTCGCCAACATAGTTTTGTCACAACCCGATTTTTAAAAAAAAATAATCTCACCAGAAGATTTTTCACAGATAAATGTCTTCTCGATGTCACAGTAGCTTGTGGTCAACCATGTGTTGTCGTTGTCGCCGAGGTAGCCGCACTGGTTGCTTCTTTTCCGACTTCCTTCAAAGTTGCTGTAAGTTAACTGTGGGTAGGAGTGAGTGGGTGAGTTTTGGCTTAACGCCGCTTTTAACAGTATTACAGTTATATCACGGCGTGTCAGCTTAATGTTGGAGGAAAGCCCGAAGTGATGCAGGTCTCAGACGTTTACCACTTTGGTGAAACCCACGAGCATGGGTATGGTGCTGACAAACCTAGAAACATAATCGGGGCTAACCAGGATTCGAACCCACAACCATAGGTTTCTGGCGTGGCCAAGGGGCGTAACTCTGCACAGCGAATCGCGGCGCCTTAGACGACTGGGCCACCCGTGCCCTCAGTGGATAGGTATGGTTATACCAGTACCAACGCTTAGACTGGGACAACTAGCAGCAAAGGTGATGTACTTAATTTACAAATAACCAGTTTTCATTTGATCTATGTGCTTCCAAGGCAATCGCAATATGATATATACAAACATGGTCATAGTCACTTTTGCTTTATCACGCAATTAATTTCTTCAACTGCACAGATAATATTACTTGTTTTGGGGAACATTTATCATCATTGCTCCTCGAAACCACAATTTTCTTCATCAAACGATCAATTTGAATAGAAATGGGTCATCAGGCCCAATCTCATTAAAATCAGATCTTAGTTCTCGCTATCGCTAAACAAAGATCTGAGGACATCCCATTACGGGTCACGTTAGAACGACCTTTCATCCGACCAATCAATGCGTCGCTTACCAGATCATGAAAGTGACAGTCGGAATGTGTTTTCTAATCATGCAACCTCGAAAACGTTAACACTAGGTATTCCCAAAGACAGTTACGGCCCGTACGACTGATTCCGTCAGAATTATCGTCTAACTCTCTCTTCCGTGGGATAAACATTTGAACGGAGGAGGCTTTGCACAGTACGTTGGAAGCACCGCCATACAATCTCAACCATATATTAGATATTCCGGAATGTCCGTTTGTTCAGTTTTCAAAAGTTTAATCGAAAACTGTGTCAGGCGTAGTCTGAAATGGAAGTCGCCAGGTTGAAACGAGTGCCGTAAAGCTCGAGAAAAATGCTTTCTAATTGGCTGATGTCGACTTCTTGTTAATCGTTTCAGTGGGTGGTCAAAGTTCGCGAAAGGTCGTTCTGACGTGACCCGTAATGGGATGTTCTCAGATCTTTGCTGAGGGGCAGCGAGAACTTAGATCTGATTTTAATGAGACCCTTCCAGTCGTCTAAGGCGCTGCATTTCGCTGTACAGAGTTGCGTCTTAGGGCACGCCAGAACCCTATGATCGTGGGTTTGAATTCCGGTTCGCCTCGATTAATGTTTCCAGGTTCGTCAGCACCATACCCCTGCTCGTTGGGTTAACCAAAGTGGTAAACGTCGACGACCTGCATTCCTTCCACATCAAGCTGACACGCCGTGATATAACTGGAATACTGTTCAAAGAGGCGTTAAACCCAACTCTCTCTCACTAGAACCTTTGGGGCGGTCGGGTAGCCTAGTGGTTAAAGCGTTCGCTCGTCACGCCGAAGACCCGGGTTCGATTCCCGACATGGGTACAATGTGTGAAGCCCATTTCTGGTGTCCCCCGCCGTGATATTGCTGGAATATTGCTAAAAGCGGCGTAAAACCATACTCACTCACTCACTCACTCACTAGAACCTTTGATAGCAGTATTGATAACTACAACAAAAACATAACGTACATGTATGACAGACTTATATTTTGTTTACATTACAATTTAATTTAATTAAACAGCAAAAATACAATTATATTTAAACAGCACAATCTGTGCAGGACATCCAACAGGTCCAGTGGAATTCTTTTTTTAACGTACTATAAGTCCTGGGGCAAAATTATGGTTTCCAATACTTTCTGTATCAAACTATTTTTAAAGAACAGAACAGATTAATGCAGTGAGTGAGATATGAGAAATGTTTATCCATATTAGAGCATCAATTACTTGATAAATTCCGTCGTCAAGGTGTCCGGATTAAACAGATTTTACGTGATGATAAATAAACATCGAAAATTCAGGACCGGTATTGGCAAATTAAAGCACTGTCGGAAATGCTGGAAAAATGCTTTCCTGGCTTCTTTTTATATACACGAGTCATTTGGCTATGACAATACTATATCAAAATAACACAAATCTACCTAATCTGGCGTATCCTAAATGACACTGAGATTATCCTAAAAGATACATTTACAGATAAAATGATGACAAAGTTCAGGCATGTGTGAAACGGCCTATAACCTGAGGTAATAACTGAACGCCTGTCCCAAGGTGATGACCTCATACCCACCCGTGCATTCTCACAGGTGCAAATGAGTTGGGGGTAATCTCAAAATATTACTGTTATTGAACTTTACTGAGATATGCGTTGACGGGGTAGCAATTGAATATATGTACAGCATTATATTTGCTTGGAAAAATGATGGTATAGTTAAAAGCTATGAAACGGGAATATTGGAAGGTTGCGGTTTTTGAATCAGGACGTATTTATTGTTCTACCGATGATTTCTTTAGGTAACATAGGACTCCGCTTATGACGTACGGTATATGAATCTGTACTATCACCCAAAGGTATGATAGCGGGTTCAACCAGGCTGATATCTAGCAAAGACTGTGTTGATCCCCAATTTGACATGTGTGGTCCAGACTCGTTTATTTACGGACCGCCGTCATATGGCTGGAATATTGCTGAGTGCGGCCTTAAACAACAACAACAACAACAACAACAACAAAACTTATGCTCCCAGGTGTCATCAAGTTAAATGACCTGAAACCTTGACCTCTTTGTTTTATTTATCATACCACAGACATGTTGGTATGAATTGAAAGCCCCATGGCTTTGGCAGTTCGCTAATGCACCCTACCTAAACTAATAAATGGTTCCCCTCTATCTCTCTCAAATGTAAAGAACTTGTACACATTTCCTAGTATAGACTCCATGTCGTGTTCGATAACTGTGGCTATGCAAGTGTCATGTAACATGCATCATGGGACCAGTGTTGACACAACAAATGCAGCGTAATTTTGTTGTTTTAGAAGATGCATATCTAGAATGTTTTCCAAATGAATTTTCTGTGTGGATTAGGTATGCTATGAAGACTACATTATTATCATTATAACGGATTCACGTGCGCTTATTTTTATAGTCCGTTCTAGACTTCCATCATGGACTTAGAATACATCTGAATTTGCTGTTTTCGTTCGGGTTTTTTCTCCTGTAAAATTGGCGATAGGTCTCCTTGAGACTGAAATACTACAAACTACAGGTGTGTCGATCGGTAGTTAATCGATGCTTCAATGGCAACAGTCTGTCTCTTTTCATAAGGGAAAAAAAGCATTTTTCTAGCATTTCCGACAGTACTTTAGTCAGAGTACGTTTTTAACAGGTTCCACTGCATGAGAAATGTTTAAATACTTGCATCAACAGTACGTTCATTACGCAGTTGCCATTTGAAGCGGGGGTTGTAATTCGATGAAGTCGTAAACAGGCCTATCCAGAATTCCACTCCACTTCTTCCAGGTAATGCTGCAACAGATTGCATAATTATATTTTAATCAGTGGTATAGTGCATGAGTAGAGTTCTTCGAAAGAAATGACCGTACCATAACCCCTATTCTTCACCAGTCGCCCATTTCTGTAACCTGCAAGATGATTCGCCACCTTAAAGATCACTGTCACGTGGGAATTAACGTTGTACCAATCCAAAAGCGCGTATCAAATCTGGTCAAAGACTGTGATTTTCGAATCGTGATTGTCTCCATCGTGTTCAGCAACATACGCCTAACTCCATCTTATGACGTCTACGTTTCTCACTTCCTTAGGTGCTTTAAAACATGTATGTTTTATTCAAACTTCTCGGAGCGGCATTTGCTTATTTCTTCAAGCATTTCGGTCATGGTTTCAGCATCAAAGGCCCGATTACGACATTCCAGAAATGTTATGGGAAATATTTAGATGAATTTACTAGATAGGACATAATGTTTGTTTTGTTTGTTTGTTTGTTAGTCTATCTTCATGTGTAGATAATACGACTTGAGTAATGCAAGCACTGTGACCATTTGTACATTTGTTATTAGTAAACAAAGAACTACACTATAATCATGTGCAGGGCAGAGCCGAAGCACGGTTGTTCAAAGAGTTGTGTCCCTTAGCCATGCCAGGATCCGCTGATCATGGATTCGAGTCCAATATTTTCTTTGATTATTGTTTTGTCAGCCGCTCGTGGTTAACGTTTTCGACCTCTAATTAATCACATAAACTATATAATAATTGAAATTCCGATCTCCCATCTCTGAACTGCATATGTCACTTACCATTCACAAATAGTTCCTTTCGTCGATCCCTAAGTACAAGCAGCAGTCCTCCTTTCTCGGTACATGTTTTTTCTGCAAGGGAGTATGTTGTTGCGGTCTCACTGAGCCAGATACAGTCGGTAAAGTTATATCGTTCCCAGCCAGTTTCACAACGCACCCTGGCTTGATGAACAAGAAGAAAGGGGAGTTAAAGGCTGGCGTCCGATGTATATTGCTTTTTTTTACGGATTGTTTTTTTCAAACGCTGTGGTATAATAAGAGCTCATTGTGGTTCACTGCAGAAGGTAAATGCAGAAATTTTTAAAGGTCTGGGCCCCGTTCCACAAAGCAAGTTTAGCGCTACGACTGTTGTAAGTCAGTGTTAAAGAATGGGAGTTACAATCACCTTAGCGCTAAGATCGCTTTGTGGAACGGGCCCTGTATCGTACAATTTCATATTATTGACAACCTTTGTTTCACCAAACAAAGGAAAGCATCTCGAATTGACGCTTATGATAACATTCACGAAGATTTCTAAGAAAATATTATGATAACCCATTTTGAGTGGTCCATAAAAGGATCGTGTACATCTTCCGTGCGCATGAAATCGTCCATGTCATTCTGCGTTACATACACAGAAATAGATTCATTGCAACGTGCTTTCGCTTTTGATGATTTCAATGACACAACGATGTTTTGTGTCACGAATCACTAACATGAGGGCAATAGTGTAACATTTACTGCCATACAAGGTAGAGGGTAGAATAGGTCTTCAGCAACCCATGTTTGTGGTAAGAGGCGACTCTGATTGTCGCAAGAGGCGACCAACGGGATCGGGTGGTCAGGTTCGCCGACTTGGTTGAAGCATGTCATCGATCACAATTGACTTTGGTCCAGACTCGATTATTCACAGACCGCCGTCATAAAGCTGTAATATTGCTGAGTGCGGCGTTAAACAATGAGTAAGATGTATCAGTAGTGTACAGGACTTTTCGAGCTGATTGGACACCACGTGACTGAAGGTCGGGGGGGGGGGGGGGGGGGGGGGGGGGGGGGTACCAAAGAACGTTCAGCTCGGTAAAACCCAGAGTACCCTGCTAGCGTTACGTGTAACAAATTTATCATTACATTTTCATAAGTACAGATATTTACTTCCGGTGAAATATACTTTTTGTGACAATATCAGACCTGCATTACGGCCACCCTTGGGTTCGACATGGTAAATCAAGAGTGAACAGCGTCAATGATGACGTGACAAACTGATGACACAGGGCGACTTAACGGATCGGGAGGTCTGGCCTATGTCATCATATCCCAATTGCTTGAATCGATGCCCATGATGCCCATGCTAAATTGTCTGGTCCGGACTCGATTATTGACTATTTTTCATATATCATGAATATTGCTGAGTGCGACGTTAAAGAACAAACAAACAAACAAAACAGTGTTCAATGATAGTGTCATCTTTGGGAAATACTCACACAAATCGGCTTTTGCATTCCCAACGCCATTGATCCACACAAAAAAGATAATTGTCCACGAAGCTGAAAATGCATCTGCCATGTTTCTGCTGTTCAGCGCGCCGAGGCCAACAGGCGATCTCTCGTGTTGAGTTGCTAATGAGAGGGGCCTAATTGTCGTGTCATATCTGTGGCCAAGTGATCAGGCAAGTGTCAGGTTGCACGATATGGGTTCCAATGTCTGAAGCTCTATCCCACTCTTTGATGTTTATACATGTATACATATGTGTGCGAGTGTGTGTACGTGCGAGTGTGTGTGTTTGTACGTCAATTCTGTGTTTATATTCTGATGTCTACGTACGCGCGTGTATGTGTGTGTTAATACCTCAGTTTTGTGTTAATACACTCATCAATTCCTGTTTAAACATCCTTTCTGTGTTAATACATTCATTCTGTGTTTATACTTTAATTTTGTGTTTATACTTTAATTTATTGTTTATACAGTGATTTTTGTGTTTATACATACATGTACATGTTTGTTAATACAAGTATTCTATGTGGGGACTATCTTTTTATCAATATCCAGTTTGTTTTATACATCCAATCTTTGTTGATAAATACCATCTTTGTTTATAAATAAAACTAAATATTTAGAAATGGGGTTATTTCAAATGATTACAAATGAAAAAACAAAATAATATACACATGTATCACTATGAACAAACAGATTGGCTCTTTTCCTGATTTCCCTTCCGAGGCAGTCTCATAAGTACTCTATTGGAGAGAGATCACGTGAACGTGACGGCCGAGGAAACAAGTTGATCTTATTCCCGTTCATAAAATTGGTCGCAATCTTTGCAATGTGAGAAGCAAGGGTGGACATAGCCTTTTTTAAAGGGAGGGGTAAAAAAATATCAAAATACTCTCTCAGTCAATTGTACTGACCTGCCTATGAGCAATGGCGTTATACTGCCGGACAAAAACCCGTTCCACGTCGATTTTGAATGAATGCTACTAGTACTGGTCTGATCACCTGGTCAATATAACGCTGAGCTGCCATGTTGCCCTGAACTGTTGCCAGTGGCGTCTTGTTCTCTCCGCAGATGCCTCCCCAAACCGTCACACCACCCCAATCATATGGTTGAACTTGCATCACGCAGGGCGGCACCTGACGTTCTCCTTTACGTCAATATACATGAGTTCTTCCATCAGTGTGATAAAGACAGAACCGACTCTCATCGCTGAAGAGCACACGGTTGCCAGTTGCCGAGTGACCCGTGAAGATCTGGGGTAGAATAGGTCTTCAGAAACCCATGCTTGCCGTAAAAGGCGACTATGCTTGTCGTAAGAGGCGACAAACGGGATCGGGTGATCAGGCTCGCTGACTTGGTGCATGGATCAATGCTCATAATGTCAATCACTTGATTGTCTTGTCCAGACTCGATTATTTACAGACTGCCGTCATGTTGCTGTAATATTGCTGAGTGCGGCGTTAAACAACAAACAAACAAACAGTTGAGATTGAGAGTTCCTGCAGCGTTATGTTTCAATAATTCAATCATGTCGCAAATGGTTTGGGTTTTTTCCAAATGCTATTTGTGTTCTTTCTTTTGGACTTGTGTTAATGTCTTTGCTCATGAAACTGACAATGGAAATGGTAATTCAATAGTGATCCAGCCAACATTTCCGAACATCACAATGTAAAACACATGGGCCAAATTTTCGCTGGCTATCCTATAGTGTCATGACAAAAATGAGCTGTAAATAAAAAAACATCGGCTCCTCCTTACGTTTGAGTGAGTGAGTGAGTGAGTGAGTTTGGAATAACGTCAAATCATAACAGTCAAGTTATATCACAACGTATCAGCTTAATGTGAGGGGAAAACCCGACGTGATGCAGGTCTCAGACGTGTACCACTTTGGGGAAATCCACGAGCACGGGTACGGTGCAGATTAACCCAGAAACATAATCGGGACGAACTGCGATTCCAACACATCCTTTCCTTGACAAAGTTTCTTCATGAGAGTAGTGAATGTATGAGTTGTTTTCACACAATATTTCAGTATTTATTTGGGGCGGTCATGTAGCCTAGTGGTTAGGCCCTCGTCACGCCGAAGACCCGGGTTCAATTCCCGACATGGGTACAATGTGTGAAGCCCATTTCTGGTGTTCCCCGCCGTGACATTGCCGTGATATTGGATATATTTGTGTCAGGGTCTGTATGGTCTCTGGTATGACTGACTAACACGCTCCCTTTGCTAATTAGAAAAACCCATGAAATGTTGACCCCATGACCCCTTAATATCTTTGACGTCATGGTCGCCTGGTGTCATGTTGCATGAGACACAGAGGATATCTAACGGTTGTTGACAAATACGCTGTTTTTCTTATCGAGTGGCAATTAGAATCGGCGACAATATCAGACCCACAGGCCCTTGTGACGTTGCTTAAATATGTCTCGATCGATTAATATTAATATGGTTATTCTAACGATCCCAATATAGGATATGTCTCAGTTCTTTATTTATAGCATCGATGTGGCCCACACGCCACGTTGAAACCAACAAATGGCCGACATCAAACTCGCACAGAATGGGGGCGTGTCTGATAGCAGATCTCTGATTGGTCGGTATCTCCCAGATCACTGGTTCTGTTCTGATGATTGTTATGACACCACTGCGTGAAACGTTAGACTGTGAACGAACCTAGAATTGAACTGCTTTTAACAGAATTGAACTGAACTGATTTTAACAGAACTCAACTGATTTTAACAGAACAGAACTGAACTGATTTTAACAGAACTGAACTGAACTGCTTTTAACAGAATTGAACTGAATTGATTTTAACAGAACTGAACTGAACTGATTTTAACAGAACTGAACTGAACTGATTTTAACAGAATTGAACTGAACTGATTTTAACAGAACTGAACTGAATTGATTTTAACAGAATTGAACTGAACTGATTTTAACAGAACTGAACTGATTTTAACAGAACTGAACTGAACTGATTTTAACAGAACTGAACTGATTTTAACAGAACTGAACTGATTTTAACAGAATTGAACTGAACTGATTGTAACAGAATTGAACTGATTTTAACAGAATTGAACTGATTTTAACAGAACTAAACTGAAGTGATTTTAACAGAATTGAACTGAGCTGATTTAAACTGAACTGAACTGAACATACACTCATGTCGGACGTTAGATCCAGCATGGGCACTAGATGAATAACTCAGGTATTGATTATATGACAGTGTATGTACATTAGAACAATATTACAATCTCATAAACGTCTTTTCTGAGCAGTCAGATCAGATAAACAAGACAAATTCTGAAGAGAAATAACATTTAAACATTTATGAAATATGAATACCGGTAGAATGACACCCTGTCCTTAAGTAATGAACCTTTATGTGAGTGGATGGACTGTGTGGTCAAAAGTGGATGTATACATGCGTGTCATTATCACCACGATTATAGTGAAGGCATTCAGTTATAGAGAATGAATGAACTTCATTAAAGTCTACTATACATGATCACAAAGATGATTTTTTTTGTCCCGGGGATGGGTGTTCATTAAAGATTTCCCCTGACCCCTTCCTTTGGACCTAGTGGAATGAAACTTGGCATAGGTATTAGTCTTTCTCCACATAGGAACCACCAAGAGTTACACACTTCTCCCATCGTTTTATGCAACTATGGAGACCTCGCTTGTAAAAGCACTCATTTTGCGTCTCAAACCAGGACTTGACTTCAGAAATCAGTGTTTCATCATCTGTGAAACGTTTTCCCTTCAAAAATGACTTCATGGTTGGAAAGAGGTGGAAGTCAGATGGTGCAAGGTCAGGAGAGTAAGGAGGATGTGGAAGGATTTCATAGCCACAGGACCGCGCGTCTGGCTGGGCAACATGAGAGTTGTGTACTGGAGCATTGTCTTGCAGGAGACGGACACCCTTGGTCAGCATGCCACGCCTCTTAAGCTTCATAGCGTCCCGCAATTTCCGCAGCAGTGAAGCATAATAAGCTCCTGTAATTGTGGTACCCTTTGCCAAGAAATCCATCATCACAACTCCGTGCTGGTCCTAAAACACCGTGAGCATGACCTTGCCTGAAGAGGGTTGGACACGTGTCTTCTTTGGGGGTGGGGGTGGGGGGAGGGGTGGGGGGGGGGGGGGGGGGGGGGGGAACTCCACATGCTTCTATTGCATCGACTGAACTTTAGTCTCAGGATCATAGTGATGGACCCATGTTTCATCCTGTGTGATAAGTCTGTTTGCCTGTTTTTTTTGGCACATGTCCAAAAGATCCTTTGAGCAATTGACTCGTTCCTGCTTTTGGAATGGTGTGAGCAACCTGGGAATCCATCGTGCAGACACCTTATTCATGTTCAAATTGCCATGGATGATTTTTTCCACAGACCCTACACCGATCTTGAAATCTTGTGCTAACTGGCGAACAGTTATACGTCGGTCTGCCAAAATGGCGGTCTCCACTTGATGGATAGTGTCCTCATCAATGGCTGAATGGGGGCGACCAGGAATGGCAGCTGTTTCCACAGATGTCCGACCACACTTGAACTGGCGATGCCAGTGTTTAACAACGTCATATGATGGGGCATCTTCCCCATAAGTTGCTTTCATTTCATCAAAAGTTCCTTTTGTTGTGCGACCTTTCAAATATAAAAACCTAATCACTGCTCGGTATTCTACTGGCTCCATTGTCACACCCTACTCGATCATAACACCTGTAAAAGTGGTAAGATTAATAGTTCGGTGCTGCAAATTCAGACATAACCCATAGATACATGTATCATTACACATGTGAAATTTCAAACAAATATGATAACCCTAAGTGGTTTAGGGGAAATCTGTAATGAACACCCCTCGTATGTGTAGCGAAATTCCTAACTGAATTGACAGATTGCAATTTAAGAAAACGTACAACTTCACGGATAACAACTTCTGGTTTATTGCATATAGCGACGTTACGATACAGATTCTTATCAAGCTGGAGTAAAGATGTGTGATAAGGGTGTAAGAATCTACATCAAAACGTCGCTGTGTGCACTAAACCTGAAGTTGTTATCTATAAAGTTGTACGTTCTCTTACCCACCAACATCGAGCGTGTCAATCAAACAGTTAGATTGCAATTTGATGAAAGCAATTGTATAATTATATTAACATTATAAATTATTTCTGATATGATTAATAAACCAGGGGATGTTACAATAACAGTAGATACTTGATATTTGTTGCTTCTATTCAATTACTTCGAAAATTTTAAATTGTATTTTTCAGACAGAAATATTGAAAGGAACAGACTTCCCAGTAACACACTCATTAGTTTGAAAAAAAATTTCATGATGTCCTAGTGAGTTGATGTGAATATATTTCCTCAGCCTACATCATCTGAACATCTAATGCTCTTTCTGTCAGCGTTTTGTTTGTGTCTGTAATAAAACCTGTCATGACCACCAGATGAAATCAAATGGGTATCACTGAAAACTTCAAAGGACATGGTAGAAATCAGCCACACTACAAGTCATGATAATACCAATTCAGATCAGCAACATCTTGCGCATGTGGATTATGACGTTCACACTGTTAGCCGCGCAGCAGAGAAATCCAAACAGTCCTTTCACAATTGACTGTTGATTTATGTTTGTTGTTTATTTGTTGTTTAACGCCGCTCTCAGCAATATTCCAGCTATTTGACGGCGGTCTGTAGATAATCCAGTCTGGACTGATTTTATCTGTTTTCTTTTTTTTATCTTATGCCAGTGCTGAATGTCACTGATAATTTCAATATAAGCATTGAAATATCACATTGTTATAAAATACAATGACGTGGATATAACTATCACCGATTCTTTTCCTAAAGACTCAATACAGCTGCCATAAACAACTACCGCGGATTCCGTTGTGCGACAAAGCTGCCATACAGGTTGTGTAAGTGAGTATGGTTTTACGCCGCTTTTAGCAATATTCCAGCAATATCACGGCGGGGGACACCAAAAATGGGCTTCACACATTGTACCTATGTCGGGATTCGAACGAGCAAACGCTTTAACCACTAGGCTACCCCATAAAGGTTGAACAGCACGTACTTCGCGTGAAGCTCCGGGTTAGAATAGGTCTTCTGCAATCCATGTTTGTCGTAAGGGGCGACTAACGGGATTGGGTGGTCAGACTCGCTGACTTTGTTGATGAATGTCATCGTATCCCAATTGCGTGGATCGATGCTCATGATATCAATCACAGGGTTGTTTGGTCTAGACTATTTACAGACCGCTGTCATATAGTTGGAATAATGTTGAGCGCGGCGTTAAACAACAAACTAAACAAATACAAGCTTTTAGACTTGGTAAAGTATATACACAGTCTCTTAACATATAATATATGTTAGGGGAGATAACCCCTTCTACTACATTTTCCCTTTATCAAGATCTAACCACATGAAGCGTAGTAAAATCCGACCCGTCTCGCGAGAGATAATTGATACGCCAGCAAAGAGATTCTTCGAGTCTCTGTGAAGTAGGTATTTGAGTATGATAAATGGAGAGACATCATCTAAACTCAAAAATATTAAACCATAACAGGATGCGAATCAATAATGTGCTTCGTTCCGCTCTTAGTTTTTAGATTTTATTGGACTACTATGTGTAGCAATATTCCAGCTATATGACGGCGGTCTGTAAATAATCGAGTCTGGATCAGACAATCCAGTGAATAACGACATGAGTATCGATCGCAATTAGGATAAGATGACACCAAGTCTGACCACCCGATACATTTAGTCGCCTCTTACAACAAACACAGGTTGATGGGCAGCAAAGAACTCCCAAATGTACCGCTTTTTACGAATCTTTGTGTATTGTACTTGTAATTCACCGAAGAAGGCCAATGTATTCACTGTATTAGACATATGTATTGACTGAAGTAGACATATGTATTGACTGAAGTAGACAATGTTTTATGTATTCACTGAAGTAGACAATTTATTCACTGAAGTAGACAATGCATACACTGAAGTAGACACATGTTTTATATATTGACTGAAGTAGACAAAGTATTCACTGAAGTAGACAATATATTGACTGAAGTAGACATATGTATTGACTGAAGTAGACAATGTTTTATGTATTCACTGAAGTAGACAATTTATTCACTGAAGTAGACAATGCATACACTGAAGTAGACACATGTTTTATGTATTGACTGAAGTAGACAAAGTATTCACTGAAGTAGACAATATATTGACTGAAGTAGACATGTAATAAATGAAGTAGACAATGTATTCACTGAAGTAGACACGTATTTTATGCATTCACTAAAATAGACAATGCATACACTGAAGTAGACACATGTTTTATGTATTCACTGAAGTAGACAATGCATTCACTGAAGTAGACAATGCATTCACTGAAGTAGACAATGCATTCACTGAAGTAGACACATGTTTTATGAATTCACTAAAGTAGACAATGTATTCACTGAAGTAGACAATGCAGTCACTGAAGTAGACAATGCATACACTTAAGTAGGCACATGTTTTATGAATTCACTAAAGTAGACAATGTATTCACTGAAGTAGACAATGCATTCACTGAAGTAGACACATGTTTTATGTATTTACTGAAGTAGACAATGTATTCACTGAAGTAGACAATGCATACACTTAAGTAGGCACATGTTTTATGAATTCACTAAAGTAGACAATGTATTCACTGAAGTAGACAATGCATTCACTGAAGTAGACACATGTTTTATTAATTGACTGAATTAGGCAATGTATTCACTGAAATAGACAATGCATACACTGAAGTAGACACATGTTTTATGTATTTACTGAAGTAGACAATGTATTCACTGAAGTAGACAATGCATACACTGAAGTAGACACATGTTTTATGTATTCACTGAAGTAGACAATTTATTCACTGAAGTAGACAATGCATACACTGAAGTAGACACATGTTTTATGTATTGAATGAAGTAGACAATGTTTTGACTGAAGTAGACAATGTATTCACTGAAGTAGACACGTATTTTATGCATTCACTAAAATAGACAATGCATACACTGAAGTAGACACATGTTTTAAGTATTCACTGAAGTAGACAATCCATTCACTGAAGTAGACAATGCATTCACTGAAGTAGATACATGTTTTATGAATTCACTGAAGTAGACAATGTATTCACTGAAGTAGACAATACATTCACTGAATTAAACACATGTTTTATGCATTCACTGAAGTAGACACATTTTGTATGTATTGACTGAAGTAGACCATGTATTCACTGAAGTAGACGATGCATACACTGAAGTAGACACATGTTTTATGTACTGACTGAATTAGGCAATGCATTCACTGAAATAGACAATGCATACACTGAAGTAGACACATGTTTTATGTATTGACTGAAGTAGACAATGTATTCACAGAAGTAGACAATGCATTCACTGAAGAAGACACATGTTTTATGTATTTACTGAAGTAGACAATGTAATCACTGAAGTAGACAATGCATTCACTGAAGAAGACACATGTTTTATGTATTTACTGAAGTAGACAATGTAATCACTGAAGTAGACAATGCATTCACTGAAGAAGACACATGTCTTATGCATTTTCTGAAGTAGACAATGAATTCACTGAAGTAGACACATGTTTTATGTATTCACTGACGTAGACAATGCATTCACTGAAGTTAGTATTAATGTGCACTGTATATATTAACTGAACCAATTAAATGTTTTCACTGAAGCAGAGGACGGGTATCTCTCAGTTCCACCTTGCACAAGACTTTCTCTGGTTGAAGAATTAAACCTGGTGACCAGGTTCTCACATCGGACGATGACGTCATCCCGCCCTCTGGAGGTAGAAACTTGAAATGCTGGCATAGAGTAGTTATTAATAGAAACATCCTCGTTTTGGCAAACACTTCTCCAGGACATTGTCGTTTTCCTACACCAAATGGCAAGAACCTGTGTCGGCAGAAAATAGAAACTTAGGGCCCAACCATTTGACATTTCGGGAGGAAGATTGTTTAAACATGGTGGTGGGGGTGGGGGGTGGGGGTGGGTGAGGTGGGGTGGGAGGGGGGGGGGGTGTTTTGGGTTCAGATAAAATTGGGTCATTGCATTTATGTAGCGCGTGCGTGCGTGCTCTTGTACTAGTCCGGACTTTTACCGGTCTTTAAGTGTTAGCCCACTGAGATACCATGCCACAGTATAACATCAATGGATACACACTCAGGCAGTGTATATTGACTCCAAGGCCGACCAGTCCATGTTTTATCCTCTTAATACCAAACACCAGGCAGGGTAACAACAAGTACCATCTTTTAACATCTTTTGGTATGACCCGGCCGGGGATCAAACCACCGACCTTCCGCTCTCTGGGCAGACGCTCTATCCATAAAACCACGGAGGCGGTCCATATTTTAAGTGGTGAAGATACAAGTAAGTTTGGTTCGATGCCTTTTAATGATGTATCTTGAAAGCTGATCATACTTAAGAATGTACAAAAGGATTGTTTACCGTTGCCGAACTGGATGATCTGGCGGCAGTAGGTGACCTTGGTCATCAAGGAAACGCTCGGGCCGAAACACCCATGGGGAGTCCCACACCTTCTCGTCATGTGCCATTGACCAGAAATTGGCCAAAATCTGTAAAAAGACGAATTAAGTAATCTGTAAAACAAGGAGTATAATCAAGAATAGCACCAAGACGGTAAACATTCAAGTCGAATGTGTCAAATGTTGTGAAATCTTCAGCCACCAAGAAAGGGAATTGTGGTTGTGGTTATTGTGAAAGTACAACATGTTCATGTCAAGTGTGACCATATTTGAACAAAGACGTTGACGGGTGCAACCGGTGGAGCAGGATACGCAAACACTTGGTATCATTACTATCTGATAGCTGTTCTCAAGCACATGCTCATGGTACAATCATGGAAGCAGAGCTTTCTTGTGGCTATAGAAAGGGTTTTGTCGCGTGTATTTATATGTATGATATTATAATTCGCAACATCATGAGTGGAGATGATGGTGCATAAAAGAAACGTATAATTAATTTCACCAAGGTTCAGCTTGATCGCTGTGATATTCTAACGTTTAATTATATAAAAATTGCAAAAGAAGGTTTATGTCTGAAACTATATGCCACGATTTAATTTGTTTGGAGCACAGCGTTTTGAAAGGGAGGGGGTGAGTGAGTGAGTAAGTGGTGCTTTAAGCCGCATCAGCAATATTCCAGCTATTCGCGGCTAGAAAGAGAGGGAATGCACTACAGCATGCTAGATGAGCATAATTCGGGAAAAAATGAGTAGTAAAACATTACACGTTGTTTATTCAATGTGGACAACAGAGTTGACATGGATTACCACCTTTCTCTTTATCCCAATGCGACGTGTAGGTACAGATGCTAGTACGCTTTTCATGCATCTTCTAAAGGACACTCAAACAATTCATTGTAACTTCATTTTGAAGCATGATGTTTTGTTTGTTGTTTTACGCCGCCCTCGGAAATATTCCAGCTATATGACGGCGGTCTGTAAATAATCGAATCTGGACTAGACAATCCAGTGATTGATATCATGAGCATCGATCCACGCAATTGGGTAGGTTGGTTGGTTGGTTGGTTTGTTGTTTAACGCCTCACTCAGCAATATTCCAGCGATATGACGGCGGTCCACGCAATTGGGATACGATGACATGCATCAACCAAGTCAGCGCGCCTGACCACCCGATCCCGTTAGTCGCCTCTTACGACAAGAATAGAAAGCATGATGTAGTAATATGTTTTCGTATACGCTTATATGTCTCAGTAAACTTGACAAAAGAGGGACGCGCACAGAACGCTCTGGCTCCGCGTTTGTCGGAGAACATGAACACCTTATATATAGAGGTTTCTGCCAGACCTTACAATTGAATCCTTGGGTATCCTGTAGCTGTCTATCTCCATGTCCTTGTTGGTCCGGTGTGGTAGGGATACCGGCCCGTGGGTTAGGTATCTCAGGACTTCCAGTACCATGGCATCCACATACGGAATTGACCCTCTGTCCACGACATTGACCTTTCGGTCGCCTACGCTGGCCTTGATGTGTTCGTACAGCGTGTCTTGAAGATCCGGTTGTTCCATCAAAGCGAGGAAAAGACCAAGTAACGTCCCTCTTGTTGTCAGGTATCCTGTGAGGGGAGTCACGTGGGTGTCAACACTGCACTATCACACACATACACGCACGCACGCACACAGAGAGGCAGAGTTGAGGTTAGACTTCACTCCAGGACCGTGCAGAAGTCCCTCTTTAAGACATTAACGCTCCCTCTTTAAGACACTAACGTCGCCTCATTTAAGACAGGAAGCCTCCATCTTTAAGACGCCCTAAAGCTCCATCTTTAAGAAGCACTACCGCTCCCTCATTAAGTGAGTGAGTGAGTGTGATTTTACGCCGCTTTTAGCAATATTCCAGCAATATCACGGCGGGGGACACCAGAAATTGGCTTCACACATTGTCACATTGTTCGGGCTGACGAGCGAACGCTTTAACTACTAGGCTACCCGACCGCTAATTCAATTGAACTTGTTAAAAATGCAAAGGACATTAGTTCTTTAAATGATGACAGAAAACTTACCAGCTGAGATTATTTCTAGCATTATAAACCGGATGTGATCATCCGCCATCTTGGATTTGTCGCTCATGTTGTGTTGAGTTTCTAAGGCAGCTTGAATCAAACCGCGGGGCTCACCCGGGATGTACTGGGCCTTAAAAACAAACAAGAAATTAAGAGTAAAATACAGTAAAGTAAAGAACAATAATAGAGCATTGCAAACACGGAACAGCGTCGGGGAGTGCAGCTTTAAATTTCTTATTGCATCCTCTTTTAGCCCCCTGACCTCAACATATTTCATGTACAGCTACAAATTCCTGTTTTTCACATGGTATATATTTTTCTTCCGGTATCGCGTTACTTACGAAAACAACTTTACATATCACCAGTGTGTATACTTGAGAAGATCATCTTGAACCTTGACAGCCTACATCCTGAAAGCTGAATTTGGGAGGAAAAGAATTGTGCAGAGTTGCGGGCCTTAGACGTGCCAGGACCCTATGGGCATGGCTTCAAATTCTGGTTCACCCAGACTATGTTTATAGGTTTCAGCACCGTGTTCGTGGATGTCACCACAGTGGTAAACGTTTAACACCTTCATCACTTCGTGTTTGCTTCCCACATAAAGTTGATACATCGTTATATGACTGACATATTGTCCAAAGTGGTGTTAAGCCCAACTCACATAATCACTTAAAATACGAAATTATAGCCAACAAACATACTAATTATAGGAAATCTAACGATATCCATTAACTAAAAGTGGAGATTCAAAGTAAAACGTTACCTTCATATTCTCATATATGGATGCGTACAGCGCTTCTATACAAGATTTCACATTGTCGCACTTCGTTTTGAGAGGCCCCGGTAGATAGCGCAGGAAAGGCATTATAGTCAGAGGTTGGTCAACTTCTAGTCCAAACAACCTGTTGACAGCGCTGTTGTACTCTTTCATCTGGCGGAGTGTAGAATCGCCATCGTTTGGACGTTCATCTGTCAGCTAAGGAAAGGCAATATGAAAATGTTTGTTACTGTTGCGCAAAAAAAACATTTGTATTTTTGGAACCTGTATTACCTATTATTTCCCTCGAGACTCTGATTTGGAAAAAATACAATTAATATAAATTCAAAACTCACCAAACTGGTAAAAATGAATGGTTTTACTTAGACACCCACCCACTAAAGCGGTGTCGGGTAATACAAAACAACCGGCTATTACCCCAAAATATCTAATTTTATTTCCGTGTTTTTTTCTCACATCGCCTATTGTAACCGTTATTTCTGTGTGCAAATTGATAAAAGTAAATTTCCTCTTCAGAAAGGTGTTTCGCCTGATACGCAGAAAGTTTCTAAAGTTTCATTAGACAAAGTCATAACTATGCAATATTGCACAGACGTCAGTGAGAAAATACAGCACTCTCCTACCCAGAGTTCCATGCGGCCGGTGTCACGAAATATATTCGCCCCCAGAATAAAGTCTCCCCCCGGCGAATTTATACCGGTACAGTTCCGCCCCTCTCGAAATAAACTCTCCCCCACCCTACGAAATAAAGTCTCCCCCCAGAATATTTCCACCCCCGGTCGTTTTATAAATCCTTGCCATGCAGTTCAATAGTTGATGTTATTTTGGGTTAGGTAATATTGTAATCTATTTTTAGCCATTGATTCCATTACTTTGCATAAGTTTGAAGTTGAGATTTTGGTCGATATGAGTTAGCTTGATTAGCTGGTTTATTAGATTAGGGATTGGTATGACTAGGGCCTGTTTCCAGGGAGTAGGATATAGTTTTAGGTTGTTTTTTTTAATTATTTGTTCAGAAGTTAGGTCTAATCCTGGGGCTGTGCCCTTTTTCCTGTTTTGGATTACGTAGAGGAGCTCCTCCATTTTGTAGGGTTGGTTTATTTCTAGATTGTTATTGTTTGGTTCTTTTGTGGGTTTGTTTTTTGTTTTAAGTTTATCTTGGAATTTTTGGCTGAAGTTGGTGCTACTGCTAACGGCCGAAAAGTGGTTGGCGAGATTATTTGCTTTTTGGGCGGGGTTGGTTGAGTTGTTAATGTTAGTTTTTTATGTCGTTTTAAGCCTCTAATGGCGTGGATTTTGCGCCAGACCGTTCTGACCGTTGGCATCTGTACGGTTTTTTATACATTCGCAGAATTTTTTCCAGTCTCTACTTTTGGCTATTTGGACTAGTTTTTGAACCTGGTGGTTTAGTTCGTGGGCTAAGTTTAGATGTGTGTAGTCGCGTTTTGCTTTATTGAAGGCTGATTTACGTTTTCGTCTAGTCTGTTCTATTTCCTCATTCCACCATGGTACCGTGGGTTTGCCTGATGTTTTGAAGGGGATGGAGGTTTTGGCTGCCTTTATTATATATTAGTCTGTTAGGTTTTTACAATAGGTTTCTGGGTCATTATTTTCTATTTCGTTTAAGTTAGCTTCGTTGCAGATATCTTGGGATTGGTCCCAGTTAGCTTATTGTAATAGAATTTTGGTTCTTGGTTTTCTGTTTTGATTGGTACGGTTGTATTTACTATGGTTATGTTTATCGGGAAGTGGTCACTACCTAGCGGGACGTCGTGCACTTCCCATTGAGTACTTTGAGATAGATCTGCGGTGCATATGGTTAGGTCGATAGCCGACATTTTTTGGTTTATCTTATCGTAACTCGTGGGTTGGTTGTTATTTAGGAGTACTAGGTCGTTTGTTTCTATCCATTCGGAGATTAATTTGCCATGATGATCTATTTTATCATCTATGCTCCATGTAGGATGGTGAGCGTTAAGTTTCCTAGGAATATAGTAGATTTATCGCTTATTTGAAGTAGTTTGTTTAGATCCTCAGGTTGGACTTTCGTTCCGCCCAGTGGTATATATTTATGATGTTTATTTTTCGGTTATTTAATGTGATTTTAATGCAGTTGGCTTCTAGGTTTGGCGTGTCTATTTTTATTTCTTCGTAATTTATATCTTCCCTGATAAATATGATTAGTCCTCCTGCGGCTCTTCTTGTTTTTGGTTTAGCTCTGTCAGTTCTAACTTAGTTGTAGTTAGGTAGTGTGGATTTGGATTTTTTTGAGAATTTGGTTTCCTGGATACAAGCAATGGGAGGGCCTTTATTTAGTTTAAGTTTAGTTTTTAGTTCATGGCCGCGGGAGGTGAGTCCGTTGGCGTTCCACTGAAAAATATTTAGTCCTTCCATTATTGGGTTCGGGTGATAGGTGATTTAATTTTTAGTTTTTATTTTATTCGGTGACTTCTTTTAGGTGGAGGTTAAAGAGGAAGAAGAAAAGATCGGTTAATTTTATATTGAAAGCTACTTTGTGGAAGGATTTCATGCTAGCTTTTGGTGAGTTTTGACTATGCATGTATACTAGGAGTATTTAGGAGGTTATTTAGGTTTTGGGTGTTGGCTGGTTGGGGAGTTTTGCGGTTTAGTTATTTCTTCCTTTTGGGGGCTGAGAGGGAATTTTGGTTTGTTTTAGTTGGAGTAGTGTCTATTGTTTCCTCAGTAGTGGAGAAATCTTCATCATCGGTTAGATTAGGTTTAGCTGTTTGAGTTTCCATAGGACGAAAACACATTAAATGGCCTGGCCCGTGTGCGAAATACGCATCAGTCGAAATGCGCAGGTTGAATCTCAAAAGTAAGTAAGTAAGTAAGTCAATAGTTGAGGGTATTGCCTAAAAGTCGGGCCAGCCGGGCCAAGACGGACCAAAGTGTTATTGGCTAATTTCTTCATTATCGGTGATCATACCTACATATCATTGATGCAACATAGACACATGAGATTTATGAACAAGCACCAACCAAAAATGAGATGTAAGCGTCGCTGATCTAGGTACATGTAAAAGATCAATCGTTAAACGAAATAAGATTTGAAACGTATCAAATACTTCCAGCTATCCTGATACAAATTTCCATCTGTCGGCGTGGCGTTTATATTTATAGGAACGTACTATTGCTAAGTAAATACCACTTTATAATGTCACTGTTGATCGTATTTAAAGCAGACACGTTTGTTATAGTAGACCTCTTCTCCCCATACTCTCAACTGTCACGCAAGTGTTCGGTCCGACTTGGCCCGGGCTGTCAAGATCAACTTAAACCTCACAGATGTAACATGAAATGGACTCACACCTATAGACTAGTATTATATCTACCTTAATACCACTTTATAGTGTCTCAGATCGCGGTATTTAAAAAAATAAGGTGCTCAAAGTGAAGCGCTTTTCCCTCTACATTATCAACAGTCTCTATCAGAAGTGTTTGTGTTCTGTCAGACTTGGCCCGGGCTGTCAAAATCAACTTTAAACACACAGATGTATCATCAAATGTGTTTATATCTATAGACAAGCAAATCACTTCTGATAGACTTACTTACTTATATTAGGAGATTTTACGTGCGCTTTCCGACTGGAGCGTATTTCGCACACGGGCCCGGCCGGGCCATTTAGTGGTATAAAAGTGGTAGCGAGAGGAGTGCAACCAAGGAGGGGGGTTTAGTGGTTGCTTATATAAAGTTTTGAAATTTTGAGATTTGGAATACATGCCTTGGGGGAGTGGTTGGGACTAAGGGAGTGTGTGGGGGTGAGTTGATGTTTTTTGGATGTTTAGTGTTGGTGGTTTAGTGAAGTTTTAAATACGGTTAATTAGTTCTGTTTTGGTTAGGTAAATGCCTAGGGCTTTGAAGTTTTCTATTTTATTTTGGGGGTTAAGGATTGCTTCTAAGGTAAGAGCGTTATTTGGATTTAGGTTGGTTTGTAATGTTGTACGTTGTGTGAGGTAGTGGGTGCAATGTAGTAGTACGTGGTCTATTGTTTCTGGGTGAGTGCAGTGTGGGCACTTCCCGTTTGCGTGTTTTTTTAGTTTTAGAAGGTGGTTATTTAGTTTGGTGTGTCCTGTTTGGAGTTTGGTGATTATTCTATCGATTTTTTTGGAGGGATGGAGGATTTTTGGTTTGGTGAGGGGTTTTTTGAGGGTTTTTAGGATTTGGGTTTTTGTGTTTTGATAGAGGTTATGCCATTTTTGGGTGATTTTACGTTTGTTTATACTTTTGATTTCTGCTTTAGATATTGGTAGCTTAAGGCTTATGTCTGGTATTTTTAGGGATTGTTTTGCGGCTCTGTCTGCGTTTTCATTCCCGTAAATTCCTACGTGAGCTGGTATCCAGATAAGTTGTATGTTTTTGCCTGCCTCTGTTAGTTTGTTTACGCTTTTGAGAATTTGGTTTATTAATTTGGGGCGGTTTTTGGTGTTTTTGTTTTGGAGGGCCTGAAGTCCGCTTAGTGAGTCTGAGAGTATTAAGATTTTTTTTGGGTTTTTGGTGTGATGGCTGTGGAGCGCCGTGGCGATACCCATGAGCTCTGCGGTGAATATAGATTGGTTGTTTGGGAGTCGGAAGGATTGAGTATTTTTGACTGGTTGGGCTATATGGACTCCGAAACCTGTGTGATTTGTGATCGGATCAGCGGATCCGTCTGTGTATATGTGACACCAATTTGGCCATTTTTGATGGATGTAAGCTAGTGATGTGCTTTTAGCTAGGTTTGGGTCGGTTTGTTTGTTTATTGTGTTGGCTAGGGATGTGTCTATTTTGGGGATTTTAAGTTTTGGGGTGAATACGTTTGATTGTTTGCAGTTTTGTTGTTGGTTTCCTATTTGGTGTTCGTTATGGTAGTTTATTATTCGTTGGGATATTGGGGTGAGTAGAGGGTGTTTTCTAGTTAGTGCCTGGTTTTGGGGACGTATGTTTTGGTTTAGCATGTTTTGGAGAAGGGGGTTTGATTGAGATGCTGCCCAGAAGTTTAGTGTTAAGTGTTGTCTACGTAAATTTAGTGGCATTTCTCCTGTAAGGGCCTGAAGTGATGTGAGGGAGGTGCCATGTTGAGTACGTGTTACTAGTTTGAGGGCTTGATATTGTATTGAATCTAGTTTTTTGGTTAGGGTTTCGTTTAGGGTATCGTATATGGCACAGCCGTAGTCTAGTTTAGATCTGATTAGGGATG